ATCATCGGATTGGAATTCAGGATTGGAATTCATTCACCTGTTAATACAGAATTGATCAGCCGAACCATTACAAAATAATGAGAGAGAAGCCGCATGCCACACCCTCGGCCCGCACGCACGTGTGACAATCCTACCACCACCTCAACCGGTTAACAAAGGCTCTCTAATGGCTCCCTATTTAAGTTGAGATCTCTCCACTTAAATTTCTAAGGTGGTTTTAATCCCCATAGCATTAATTGTGGGCCATGAAATTTATTAAGAATAAATTGGGCCTAGCCCATTTATTCCAACATAAGTTGTATTGTTGTCCAACACCTCAAGTCAATTCCACGAACAAAAAATATAATCCATCTTTGACTTTTGCGTATGGCAACCCCATTGTGGAATCAAGGTCCATGTAGCTCATATCATCGGTTAGACCATCCTCATGTAGCTTGTACATTGTTATTGTAGTCATCTATGCATTTTAGTCTATGCAGTTGACACTCACATGTGTCGGCTACCATGTCATAAACACGGATATTTGTTATAAATCCGAGACACCATACAATTAGGGATGAAAATGGAGCGAATACGGACAGATAATGCTCATACCATATTTGTTTTCATATTTTTTACCGGATACGAAAACGAATACGAATAGCTCGAATACGGATTATCTCAAATACGAATAAGAATCGAATATGATCGGACACGAATACGGCAACATTTTTTTCTCAGAGATGAAAACCAACTCAACTTCTACTAAAAACAAATATCAACATATATAATTAGCTCATTTTATATAAAATGAAGTATAATTTATAAATATTTTTAAAAATTTAAATAATATTAATAGTACGGACTAGTGTTAAGAGATAAAGTACTATTAAAATCTATAAAGGTATATTAAAGGTTATAGAGTTAGAAAGAAATGGGGTATGTCTCATGGCTTCTGCGGATATCCGAATAGCACTGTTCACCGGATATCCGAATTATTATCCGTATCCGACGGAAACCCCGATACTATATCCGTATTCGTATCCGAACTATCCGATCCAAAAGGTATCCGTATCCTTTTTGTCCAAAGCGGACGGAAACTATCCACTCCGCTTTCATCCCTACCTACAACATTTATAGGATACGCCTACACGTCGGACGTCCTACAACAAAAGGCATGTGAAACATATGTACAATATATTCACAATAATAATTAATATTGCTAAAACATTTTGTAGACAGTACGAAACAATTTTTTTTGCGTGCAACATTTATAATTGAAATAGTGAAATAGTAAGAAATACTTATTGAAACATTTAAATAATATTGTGCGCAACAACATTAAAAAATATGTTGTAAAAAATAATCAGAACATAATCAAGTAAAATCTTGTTGTAACGATTTACTTATAACAAATGCAGTGGTATGATTAGATCGTTGATCGGATAAATAAAATATAAGAAAAGGTTGTTTAAAATGTGAAAACGAAGTTGTTATATGCATATACGTCATTACTGAGCATCCGAGCACCAAAAAAGAAGAATCGCAACATCATCACACATAAGAGCATTTTAGCACCAGACAAGCGTGTACTCCTAGCATGGAGTGGACATGTCCGATATTTGTGATTGCATTGGACGTCTGATGTAAGTATTTTCCACATTTATAAGATCATTGTTGTGGAGCGCTGGTTTTTATAATAAATCTATAACTCAATTAATTACCAAAACTCTATCTTTCTATATTGTATAACTCTATTTTTTAAGTTTGGCTCTAATCCCATGGCTGTGGGAATCGCGTGAACCAAAACAGAAAATACTATAGAATAGTATTCCGTCAGTACGGGACAACTTATAACCATACTATCTTATCCACACCAGTACACCATCCGTTCTTATCCTGCCCCCACCACTCTCTCTCCTTCTCCCTCTCTCTTTCCCCTCTCCCTCTCCCTCTCCGTCATGGATCAGCAGCCGACAACGCCATCTCCACTCTCTCTCATTCTCCCTCTCTCTTTCACCTCTCCCTCTTCGTCATGGATCAGCAGCCGAGAGCGCCATGCAGCCATTGGTCCGTGAGGTCAACAGCGACCGGCTCCATGCTGTTATGGAAGGCCACCTCCATTCAAAGTGGAAGGATTGTAGGGGAGATTCATGAGGCTTCTTCTATTCGAGAAGGTAAATCGAATCAACAAGATTTTTGTTAGTTTTTGTGTGGCTTTGAAGCATATTGGGAGGTGATTTCTTAGGCTAGTTTTGCTCGTTGATTTGAGCTAAATATATTGAAGGTTTTTGTGCACTTTTTCCTACAAATTGCTGCTTGTTTTAGGGCAATGGGAACGTGGAGTAACTTTTCTAGCCATGGTATAGTTTGTTGTTGATTAGTTTTTTTTCCTTCAATTGATTTTTTACTGATTTTTCTTGAGTTTTCCCTTGATATACTGATGTTTTTTTGGATATCTTAGTGATACTCCATTGATATCCTGATACTCTAACGTATCACATCGATGGTATCATGATATTTAGGTATCAGGTCTGATACCTAGTGGTATCAGGTATGATACCTAGTGATATCACAACTGATACCTATCAGGTACCATGGTTTGGTACCAGGTATCTGATACCCGACACCTAGGTACCAAGGTTTGGTACAACGTACGTATCTCATACCTGACACCCTAGTACCAAAGTTTGGTACCATGGTACGTAGTACCCGATACCGATGTACCAGGTATTGGATCTGGTACCTCTAGGCAAGTCTGGTACCACTACTATGGAAATCATCTTTCGTGGCAGCCATTTTAGATTTTCCCTGGCGGAAATTGCAGCCGCCATAAAGCAAAGGCCAAGGAAGATGTCAATCTTCGCTAGCGGTTATCGGCCGCCAGCGATAATCGCTTTTCACTGGCGGTTGGCAGTAGTGTTATACCGGCCGCCAGCGATAATCAATTTTCGCTGACGGTTGTGTTATACCGGCCGCTAGTGAAAATCTATTTTGGGCCAAAAAAAAACCCATGCAGCTGCCCTAATCGCCAGCGAAGATGAAATTTGAAAAGCGAATATGCCCACAAGCTGTTGCCCTGCATTCCAAATCCATTTCACCAAATCCCAAATCCACAACAACAAGCAAAAATTTGACAAAAATGGATTGATCATCATCATAGAGCACAAAAATATTCCACATTCACATCACAGAGAAATTCCACATCACACACATCGAGCACAAAAATTTAACATCACACATCACACAGTAAGAGGTGAGCATGGAGGGAGGGCGTGGATGGCAGTCGGCGGATCTGCTCCCCGCCGCCCCTCTAACGCGCTGCTGCCGCCGAGCACCGCCGGTGGGGATTTGCTCCCGAGAGCTGCTGGATCCACTCTCCCGCCGGATCTGCCTCCGTCCTCCCAAGCACCGCCATCACCTCACCGCCACCTTCCACCCATTTGCCGTCGCCGCCGTCGGTGGGGAGGGAGGAGCCGCCGAATCCGCTCCTTGCCGCCTCCTCTCTTGCGTCGTTGCCTTTGAGAGCCGCCACCACCCCCTTCGTCATTGTCGTCGCCCACCGCCTCCCACATCGTCGAGGAGGCGGATCCGGCCTCCCCCATCATCGCGGCGGCCGGATCTGACCCTGAGCTCACGATGGCCCGCAGCAGAGAGGAGGAGGCCGCGCCCTGCCACCGCTCTCGAGGCCCTTCCCGTTGACCGATGCGACGGTGGAGCTGAGGCGACGGCAGCCGGCGGTGGTGGGGTGGCGACGAGCTAGCGGCGGTGGAGAAGGGAGGGAGGAGAGAAGGAGAAGGGAGAGAGGCGGAGAGAGACCGCGAGAAGGGAGAGGAAGAGAGACCGTGAGAAGGGATAAGGATGGACTGGGCGGTGGGCGCGCGGTCTCAAAAATTTTTTTGTATCGGTCTTTATTACCCACCACCAGTGAAAAAAGTGATTTTCGCTGGTGGTCACTTAAGAGGTCCGCCTCGAAAAATAGAGTTTTTTTATGGCGGACCTCTTAACGTGGCCGCCAGCGAAAATCGGTTTTCGCTGGCAGTCCATGGCCCCCCACCCCTCGATATGTTTTTGCTGGCGGTTTTCGCATATGGCCGCCAGCGAAAATTATAGGGTAACACCATGAAAAATCATTTTATAGTGTACCTTAACTATTTGGTACCAAATCACGGAGAAGGAGGCACGTATAGTTGCCTCTTGGGCGATCGTGGAGCGACTAGTCATCGACTCCTCTTCTCCCTTCCTCTCCTCAACGCCTCCCTCTTTCTTTGTTGTTGCTATGGCTGAGCGAGGGAGCCAAAGGGGGAGCCCTTCTGTTTCATTGTGTTTTTGCACGAGGGAGCTTATGTCACAATATGGGCCTATCGAGTGGGCTCTTGGGCTGAAGCAAACATTGGCCCACTCAGCTAGGAAGTTGCCTACTATAAAAACGCTGGAAGGGGATCGATGAACAGAAATACAACCTGCTTTGCCATGGTTCTCTTCCTCCTCCAACTCTGCCTCCCATGATTTCTATTTCTCTAATCCTAATCTCATGCTTCTGCTTTCTCTATGTTTCTCTTCCCAATCCCTGATTCTACTCTCTTGATTGTATCCTTAGGCACTTTGTATATTCTCGAGTGGATTTGCAATATATTGGTGGCACTATGTGTGAGAGATTTGATGTGAATATGTTGGATCGTGACATAGAAAAAGAAAACGATTTAGTAAAGTGTACCGTTCGAACGGTATCAGGTGCTGTAGCCGTCCTCGAACCAAAACGCCTTTTTAACTTGTGCGACCGGTGTTCCGGGATTTTGGGTTCGTCCTCCTCGTACATCACGTTGTGACAGCGCATTTGCCTGCCCCGGGGGTGGGGACAAAACGCACATGATCCAGCTAGTCTCGACTCAGCTCGCGTGTGGCGTGACCGCGTGAGGCGAGGCGATAGATCGCTCACCGACCGGAATCAAAACCGAACCCAAATTTGGAAAACCCAACCCCGTAGGGCCCACTCTATTCCAGCCCAAGAACCACAAAAAAAAAAAAAAGGAAAACCACAAGAGAATTAGAATTTTCCTCCTCCCTTCCCTTCCCTTCCTCTCGCCGAACCAACGCGGAAGAAGGAGCTCGCCCGCCGGCTAGGGTTTGCCGCACACCCGCCGCCGAGCAGCTAGCACCGGAGTGTTGGGAGGGGAGGCTCGCCCGCCGCCGCCGCCATGCCGCAGTCGGTGCTCGTCGACCGCGCGACGAGCGAGTCGCTCATCGGGCCCGACTGGTCCCTCAACCTCGAGATCTGCGACATCCTCAACCACGACCCCTCGTGAGCGTCTCCTCCTCCCCTCCTCTCTTCAGTTTCCGCGTATAATTTTTTGGTTGAGCGGCCGCCGCGCTGGTGGGCGGCGGCGGGGGTGCGAGTTGGTCGGTCGCGCGGCCCATTGCTTGGGCGGGTGGTTCCCCGCGCCGCGAATTTTAGTGCTTGCTGGTCTTGCAGTCGTTTCTACTGTAGTTTGTTGTGGGAAATAATGGAATGGTAGTGGGTGGCTGACTGGCTGCGATGTACTGGTTTTCGCTGCCGGGGAATTGAAAGTTGAGGTTTCAGACAAAGATGGTGTGGCTCGATGCGCGTGCGAGCAATGGGGGGATTTTTGGGCTAGTAATTGAGGGATTTTTTTTTTTGCAATGATGGGGAAAGGGGGAAAGTGAAGCGGGCAGCTTTCTACCCTCGCTATATCACTATTATAGGTTGTGTGTATTTAGTGAGTTGGTCATCTTTCTGCTCTCGCGGTACCACTAGTATAGGTGATATTTGGGTTCCATGGATGGACTGATGGCGAATTTCCTACCTTGCAAATATGACACTTTACACCCTTAAACAGGTCAGGTGGTATAATCTGTCATCAAAAAATAAATTAAGTTACAGTGAGTCAGTTACTAACACTCTTAACAACCATTGTAAAACGAGAAGAAAAATGAATGTGAAATTTCAGTGGTTGTAAAGTTTAAGTCACAGGTAAGGGATAATAGCTGGGAGAGGTTATTTAAGATTTGTGCAGACTTGCCATTTGTTTCCTTTGATATCATACAATTGGTACTCTTGACCTGCTGGTGAATTTTGCACTTAAGTTTATTCTTCAGGAACTAATATACAATGAGTAAACGTGTTGATTTTCTCTCTAGCACCGCCAAAGGTGTTAGACGAATCATGATGTTATCTGCTTCCATCTTTATTGTGCTTTTATTTTAATTGGTGTGTTGCTCTTCTTTTTGTTAGATTGCTTCCTGATAACATTCTTCAATTATATCGTATGGTGTTGTCACTTCTAGTATATTTACTCATACTTCAATATTCACGTAGCCAAGCCAAAGATGTAGTGAAGTCTATCAAGAAACGCATTGGGCACAAGAACTCAAAGATCCAGCTTCTCGCACTAACAGTAAGTGTCATTCTGTATATTTGGTTTTTCATTGAATAAACGTGAACCATCAATTGTCAATTTGCCATTGACATAGGATAGGATCCTGCATTGTGGTGTTCCCGCACATAATGATAGCGCCAGATGGTATTAAAGTTTTATCATTACATGGTGTGATTTGATCTATTACATAATGATTATACACATTTCATCAAAACGACATGGTTCTGTATTGGTTTTCAGTTAGTTTAGTTGGCTAACTTAAAAATCATCATTCCACCACAATTATGTTGGATCCCTATTGGCTGTTATAATCAGGTTTCAGTCAATTCTGTCTCTTGCCAGCGACCATAAATTGGTTACCAACAAAAACCAGTTAAATCTTCGATAATTTTGTACCTACAGCATTTGAATTGAAAATTGAACATGAGATGGTTACCAAAATAAAACATATAATAACTGTTTGATGGGTGTTACAGCAGTTGCTTCATATGTTGGATTGATTGAATGTAAATTGCTTATGTACACTACATGCAATGGATTCTGTACAGCCACACACTAGCAACACTGTGAGCAAAGGAATCTGAACCATTGATGTCATCAAGGCACACGCACAGTCAACAATGCATGCCTCTACTCCCTCTGTATTTTCTGTGCGCACATTCACATATACAGAGTCCATGTTTCTGTACCATAACATAATAAAATGCATAGTGCATATCTTGCAATTTTCATTGATTCCCTCATTTATCTGCTGTTATTCTTTGGCACACATATACCATGTAGTTGTAACCAGATATAGCAATGTGATAGATTGAGCAATATACAGTGCAGTAATGCAATAATGCATATTATCTCTTGCCTAGTTATTCCATAAAATCTAACATATCCAGTTTGTTTTTATGTTAACATGGGATTGTTACGGCTGGTAATGATTCCATCTTGTTCCCAGTGGCCAGTGGTAAATTGAGCTCTGGTTATAACAGCTTAGACCTCGTTTTAAATGGATGAACAGGCCAAATTATCTGATTAGCCGGGGTGCTTAAATATTACTTTAGGAGGTACCATGATTAGATATGCCAAGTTGATAGGATGGTCATGGTCCATCTTATGGAATTTTTTTTTAGGAAAACAGCTGGAGGATATTGGGGTATTAAGTAATGGGATTGTGTACATACATTGCATGTCCAGCAGGATTTGCTTGATCAAGATATGGAGTTGACAAGGAATAGTCCTAGAGGAGAGCATATAGGAATGCAACCTTTTTTTGCCCTTCCTTATAATGGGCAGTTTTACTGCATTTATCTTTTTTTACTGTGTTTATCTGTCATGTCATATTTTTATTATGAATTTTTGGATGTTTTGGTTGCTTTATAATTTAATTTAATGGCTTGTGGAAGGCTTTTACTTGAAAATGGGCACCCAAATAAGCATGTGGTGAATTATGGTGTTTATTTTGTCTTTTTTTTTCTAGTTGCTGGAGACACTGATTAAAAATTGTGGAGACTTTGTTCATATGCACGTTGCTGAGAGGGATATACTCCATGAAATGGTGAAGATAGCTAAGAAAAAGGTCTGCTAACACTGTTTGATGTCCTTCCATGCTGAAAGATTAAGATATTGATTTATTGTTTTGTTTTCTAGCCTGATTATCATGTAAAAGAGAAGATACTAATTCTGATAGACACTTGGCAAGAAGCTTTTGGTGGTTCCCGTGCAAGATATCCGCAATATTATGTAGCATATCAAGAGCTCCTGGTATTATTTCTTGTGCTATTCACTTGCTATATTAACTATCCTATTCCTCACTATTATTTTTCATCTTCTGTAAAATTCCACGTCATGTAATACTATTCACAAAACGTAATAAGTACTTAACAGACCAAGCGGCATTTGTTCCACCTTTTATTCTTACTAAAAGACAGTAAGAAAATAAACAGAATGCTTTTTTTTTAAGCTGATTATTTGGAAATATCTTTTTGTTGCTATACAGCTGTCCAGAAATTATCTTAATTTCATAATTTGATTTGTCAGCGCGCTGGAGCTGTATTTCCTCAAAGACCAGACAGCTCTGTGCCAATCTATACTCCTCCACAGACTCAACCTCTACGGAATCTTCCTCCAGCTCTGCGTAATACTGAGCGTCAACAAGAAGCACCTGAATCTTCTTCAACACCAGAAGTACCTACACTGAGGTAAATGGTTTTGAAAGCTGCTTTACCATGCAGCCATGGAATTAATATTGTTCATAACTAACATGGAAGTCGGGCTTTATCTTGTGATTTTAAGTTCAGGAAAAAAACTGAGGGTTATCGTATTATTTGTCTTTTCACCTTTTATGCTTTTTACTTGTTCCCTAAAAGTAAGTTTGGATGATTTAAACTAGGACTGAAGCACTTGTATAATTTCATTTCTATTAAGATCAATTTGTGGGAGATTGATAGGATGCTACCTAACAAAACACCTATAACATTTTGTATGGATTTACGACAAAGTATGGATGTATAAAAAGATTAAGATCAATTGCATCCCTTTCCATAGCTTGACTTCATTTACCTTCAAAAACTCAGAGCTTATCCTTTCCGTGGCCTTGTCAAGCAACTGCATGTAATTCCCTCTTTAATATTAAAGTTGCCTTTTCTAAGGAAGGTATAAATCACATTATCTTGTATCTACTCCCCACCAGTTTGACAGAAATCCAGAATGCACGTGGTGTCATGGATGTTCTTTCAGAGATGTTGAATGCTATTGATCCTGGCAACAGAGAGGTAATTTTCCTGTACATTGCAGTTCATATAATGTTCAGAAAGGTACTGCAGAGAAAAAAGATCCATTCCATTTCTAGTGTAGGATCTTTTTGATAAAATTGGATATTTTTGCTGCCAAGATGCTAAAATGTAATGAATACACAGGGTCTAAGACAGGAGGTTATTGTGGACCTTGTGGATCAATGTCGTTCTTACAAGCAGAGGGTGGTACAGCTTGTCAACTCAACCACGTAAGTTCCTTTTTTATGTCTTTGCCTTTCCAACCGTCATATGAATTGCAGGGAATCAGGTAGTGGGAAACATGACATACATATTTCTGACTTCCTTGTTTTATAATAAACAAAGCAGAACTTTGCTGCCAAGTTTGTTATCTTTCCCAAATTGTTCAATTATTTGAAGGCCATATGATGCTTCAAATCACCCTGCTAAAGACTGCCCATTGATTTTCTCAGAATTTTTTTTTCTAAGTTTGTTATCATGCCCATTTTCTTCAATTATTTGAAGGCCATGTGATGCTTCAAGTTTCCCTGCTAATGCTGTCCATTTATTTTCTTTAATCCATTTGTCTAAATCAACTTGGGTTCGCTCTTTAAGCATTTTCTGGAAATATCACTAATCCTAACAAATTCCTAGTTTGTGAATAGCATGTAATTGACCTGTTAATCCTAATGTAGATTTTAGACATGTCTTAAAAAGCATCCTATTCCTGATGGCATTTCCAGATCACAAGTGGGTTTTAGTGTAGTGGATTTCTTCCTTGAATGTATGCATTCCTATACTTGGACCAGTAGGTCAGAGAATCAGATATAAGATACAGTTGAACGATGATTCTGGGGGTGACCCACATCTCATAGCCAATCATGAGGGGAGGGGTGGACAAAAGCTAGTTAACAGAGCAGGAAATTCTTGTAAAAGTACCACTCTACCTTTATTTTGTTTCACACATTGGAAAAATACAGCAACATGTTTTGAAAACCTGAGTAATAACTTCTTACTACACGTGCTTCAGTTACTAACCAAAATGTGATATAGTGCATTCTGTCTGATATCACCCTTCATTTAGTAGTGGTACCAATCTACCGTTCACCTGTTAGTCTCCTTTCTGTGCACAGTTGGTTGAAAACCTGGTACAATATTCGAAAGTAAATGCTAGGTTCCTTAAACTTGTTGGGTGCCATCCAGGAGCCAGCACCGCACACAACATGGAGGCCACCTGTGGCATGCGGTCTCACATGTATATGTTTGACCCAGGGTGCACAGGAGATACCTATGCACAAGACCCTCAAATCAGTCTCACTCTCACCCTGGCAGTTTTTAGGGGCTTATGCATGAATACCTCATCCAGGGGTCATGTACAGTGTATGTGAGACCTCGTGCCTGGCAGTCTCCATTCTCCACATTGGCATGCCATGTTGGCTCCTGGAGGGCCTATGGGCATTTTGGACTTCTAGATGTATGTCAAACAAGATTATGGGTCTAAATATGCATTGTCAAAGTTCAGGTAACCTGGATGACACTTGACCGTAAGTTAAGGATGACTATTGTATTTTACTATGTGTTCTTAGAACTCTGAGAATTGATGTAATACAGGATACCTGTGGTTGAATTTTTTTTTTCCTTAAACTTCTTTTGACGACATTTTTTTAATCACCTTTTGAATTGCTGTCTTTCCATTGGCTTCATAGGAGTATGGAATGGTCCTCTTAAATTCTTTTTGTGCGTTGAACTGTGACAGGGACGAGGAGCTGCTAAGCCAGGGTCTTTCATTGAATGATGATTTACAGCGTGTTCTTGCAAAACACGATGCAATTGCTGCAGGCATAGCAGTTCGTGTAGAAAAACCAAAATCAGTCCAGGCCCGAGGGGACAAGTCTCCATCAATCAAACCAGAAGGGGCAAAACAGCCAGATCAGAGGTGGTTACTTTTATCTCATAATCAAGCGTTTTGTTTCTATGAGCTTATGTTCACTTCTTGGAAAATAATTCTTTATCTGTTTAGGGTTAAGTAACCTATGAAATAACGCCCAAATAATAGAGTAACACATCATTACTTGCTGACTTCTGTATACGTTGTGTACTTTTCAGGTCTTCTGAAGCTGCCAGTACCGTGACTCCATTTGAGCAATTAGCGCTTCCAGCACCTGCATCATCCAGCAGTTCCAAACCTCCTGTAGAACCAGCTGTTGGCCCTAGTATTGACCTACTTAGTGGTGATGACTACTTCAAGCCAGAACCTGTTAATTCCCAGGCCCTTGTTTCTGTAGGCAATCCACCTGCTGCTTCAGCCAACAATACCTTGGACCTGGTAGACATGTTTGCACAAAGCAATGTTGGCAACAACCCGAACCCTGCTGTCACCTCTTCTATGTTGAATTCAAATCCTAGTCTCTCTGAGCCACAGCTGTATCCCTCACAGCAGACTGTGCCACCACAACAGCCTTCTCCATACTCTAATGGGTTAACTTCAAATACAATGGCACCGTATGATCAACCCTCTGACATAAACGCCACAGGTTCATGGAATAGTCAATTTGCTCATGGAATGCTTCCTCCACAGCTTCCTCCACAACTTCCTCCACAGCAACCACCAAATTACGGTACTAACATTTCTTCTTAATGGGCATGTATTAGATTTGTACTCCCTCCGTTTCAGGTTATAAGACTTTCTAGCATTGCCTACATTCATATAGATGTTTATGAATCTAGGCACGCATATATGTCTAGATTCATTAACATATATATGAATGTGGGCAATGCTAGAAAGTCTTATAATATGAAACGGAGGAAGTAGCATTTACTGTTTTATTTCTATTAACTCAGAAAGCTCTAGTAGAGGCATTTTGCTAGATAAGGTATTTATGCACTAGCATTTTTGAAGAGAGCACATCATTATTGTAAATGTTCATATACAACATGGTGAAACTTTTCATTTTATTTTTTTCTTGTAGCTTTGCCTTTTTATCTTTCCATGTATAAGTGGCTGCCATTATTTATGGATGTGCTGTGTCCCTTACAGGTCAAGGTCAAGATCAGAGTGGTGATCTCCCACCACCACCCTGGGAAACTCAACCTGCAGAAAGTGATCAATTCCAGCCTGGGCAACCTCGTGGGCTAGCAATGCCATCAGGGCAAATTGGAGGCATTCAATCCCAACCTGTTCAAGTTCAGCCCGGGCAAGTTGCACCATTACAACCAATGCTGACCGGGCAACCCACAGGAATGCAGTTTCAGCAAGGGTTTGGGGATCAGCTTGGGGCTCAACAAACACAACCCTTGCACACACAATATGGTGGAATGTATCCTACAATGCAAGGTAACCAATCAGCTGGCATGTATCCCCAGCAGATGGCTGGAGATTTCTACCAGCAACAGATGTATGGTGGTCAGATGGCTGGTTATGGATACGGTCAGCAGTCTGGAGGATACTATGCTCCAAACGCTGCGTATGGGTATGGCGGTGCAAACGAGCTTTCTCAGGGAATGAATGGCCTTGCAGTGCAAGATAACAGTTTGTATGGAACTTCTGCATCCTCTTCCTTCCAGCAGCCAATGAGGCCATCCAGACCCGAGGATTCCCTCTTTGGTGATCTTGTTAGCATTGCTAAAACAAAGCCTAGCAAAACTGCAGCTAATAAGGCTGGTGGCTTGTAAAGATGAGTGGATGCTTATTAACACTTGTGGCCGCGGAGATAGCTTTTCCTCATAGTACATAAGTTCTTTGAATTATTTTTCTCTATTGGAAAGTAGTAGGTGAGCGTTATAGATTCTGAAATTCATAGCGAGTGCGGTTCAGTAAATTTTTCTCTGTCAACTTGCAAGCAATTATAGTGTGTTTGCTTCTTGCAAGCTCTTAATTTCCTGCGCCATCAGGAGTTTTCTGTAGTCTGTAAACCTTGGTAAGAAAAAACCATTGAACATTCTTTAATGTTTCCTGTAAAGAATTGATATCGTCAAGTATTATACTGGTAGCTACAATCTTGTTCACAGATTTAGAAGATTTTTGAGGCAGAACAGGGCGTACATGTTAGGCCCTTCACCTTTTGTTGCAGGTTCCGGGAGGTAGGCTAGACGCAGGAGCGTTGGGCTTGTCTGTCAAACAAGATGCACGCCTTGAGCTGAATGACCTTCAAAACCGGGAAGGGAAACCCAGGCGATCAGGATCAGGGCTTTTCTTTTTTTTTAATGCATTTGTTATGCTTCATGCCAATTGGCAAACGTGGACCTCATCTAAATAGGAATGCCTATGTTAATAGGATAAAACCCTAAAAAGGAAAATCCACGGTCGAACTACCAGAATGCCTATGTTAATAGGATAAAACCATCATTCCAATTTGTAGCTTCGACTTCAATTCCCAAAAGATGAAACTTGTCCTCTCAAAGACAAAGCCTAATGCGCGAACATACGTGAGATGGACATGTTATGAACACGTTCCGATAGTGTAATGACAATCGCCAAGTTAGGGTTAGAGAGGGAAAAGTGAGGAATCAGGTTTAGAGGGATGTCCTGGGAGGAGGCGGACTGGCGGTGTGCGGTTAACAAGGGTGGCAAGACATTGTCGGCAACACCATTGGGGCCATGGGGTTAGCAGCAAGTGGGGGCAAAGCTAGATGAAAGGCAGCAGGAGGAGGCCGACCAGGCGGGGCTTTACTGGCACATTGATACCTTCCTACGCCGGCATGATCGGGCAGTGGCGGCGAGGGAGTTTCTCTGGCCTCCGTCGCGAAAGCCAGAGGGGGCTCGTCGAAGGGTGAAAGAGAGGCTTAGCAGAGGAAGCTAGACATCGCTCAGCTTCAACTCCCGGTCGCGCACACGGATGAGTGGACAGAAAGAACGAGATAAGCTGAAGAGAACGGTTGTTTAAGGTGAAGAGAGGATCGCTGCGCCAGCTGGGACGCGTTCGAGGTAGACGTGTTAGCAGCCATACCAGCCTACCACTGAGACGTGTACAGAGCCTGATTGCCAACTTTCAGACATTTAATTAAAAAAAACAAATCTAATGATGACCTATCCTAACGAGAAGTCTGGTTTCTTGCTGGTAACTACTGTTACAAGCACAAAATACCTGAACCAAATCGATTTGGCAACATCGCCATCTCAATGCTTTTGTATGCAGACACACTGGAGCTTCACGTCAAGAAGAGCATACTGAAGTGCATTCTCACTTGTTACCAAGCCTCCTAACGCTAAAAGTTAGCAGCTTACAGCGATGTAGAGATCATAAGCACCAAAATTCTTGATATCACTTCCAGCAGTGAGCTAATTGGTGCAATCAAAATGAAAGAAAATTCTTATCAAATGCTCACATTTGCTCAAGGATGCTCAAGGATCCTCCAGAATCATGTAAATCAAATGCACATGTCTAAAATGAGCATCGGCAACATAACCAATAGCATGGACATGTGAAACTGAATGTAGCAGCACCCAAAAAAGCCATGCCTTTTAATGGTTAAACAGTTTATGGCTTCTTGTAAGCTCTTCTATGGTTTGTGCTAAAAGGCATCAATAGTTTCAAAAAGCTTCTGAACCAAGTTACAATGGCTAGGGCAGGAAAAGTATGTTGTCATAAAGGCATAGAATTCCCTGCAAAACACGATAAGGAGCTTATGTCAGAAAATACTGCTGTAGCTTCACATGGTGTTCAATACAAAAGATCCATGTTCACGAACAATGCTCCAACAATAGTGACATTCACACAATTCATGAAACAAAAAAACTAAAGAGAGATGGAGTTCTATCCTGATAGGGCTCTAGGTTCCTAACGAATTTTGGCATATAGTAAAAACCGAAAACATCCCTATGATTTTGTTTGACACAAACATAAAAGAAAGATGCCACAGTAGTTTGAAATCAACAGATATAACAGATGTGAATTAATGAATTAACACCAGATAGGAGGTAATCCCTCCTATTCCAAAGTCATTGTCCTCTCAACTCTTTCCTAAATGTTAAGTCATTTGGAACTTCTAGGCACTTCTGCAACTGTTTTTCCTCGTTTACCATTGCTAAATGAATGCTAGCACTCTCACCAATAGATGGTTTATCTTTTCCAATGCAATACAAATAAAGGGCAACTAAGTATAGCTTTTTCCTTAATTTGTCTGCATAGTCTAAAGCAACTTACATTTGGAATCAGAGTAGTAGTAGATAGGAAAGGTAATGAATGGATTTGAAGAAAAATTGTGTGAAAACTTACAGTCTGTAAGGAAAAATATGACAAACAGAAAAATGGTCATAGATATATGTTAAAAAAGAATTCATCATACACTGTTACCTTCCAGTGGCACTTAGAACGTAAAACATATGATAACATAAGTCATTCCTACATCTATCTCTAAAATAAAATGCATGTGATTAAAGAAATATAATATTTTCACATCCCAAATTTCACACGTCTAAGTGAATGGCCTACTTTTGGTTCCTCAATTTAACATTGTCTTGGGTATTAAGGTGCAAAGGGTGTTTGCAAGCATGTGCATATAGTTTGAAAAATGACACATTGATTTAATTATTTCACATGTGATTTAGATTTTATTGAGATATACCAGATATTGGTTGCAGTAACCATAATATTTCATTTTGGACAACTAAGGGTCAACTAGTAAAAACATATGGATCTAAGCTAATAGGTCAAATTTGTTGTAATGTGAAATGTAAGCAAACAAATTGTACATGGGTAAGAAAAGTGTAAAGGAATAATTTATACACATATAAACACCAAACATTTGGTTGTAACTTACTCCCTCCGTACTCACAAAGTAAGTCGTTTAGGACAACATTTAAGTCAAACCTTGGAAATATAAATCATGAATAACTCTCAAGTTGTTGAGTTTAAAAATGTAAAAATTATATGAATAGATTTGTCTTGAAAAATACTTTCATAAAAATATACATATATCACTTTTCAATAAATATTTTTATAGAAACAAGAAGTCAGAGTAATGTTTTGGAGACCGTGTCGCTGTCCTAAACGACTTCCTTTATGAGTATGGAGAGAGTATAAGTCAACATAAAAAATTTCTCCTGTCTATACAAATGTTCTCATACTCGACTATTCCATTTAGATTCGAAAGCTAGAAAGATCAGATAAAAAATCCCAGATCAAACAAAACTAATCTGATGAGTCCATAGTTTAAAGAGAACACTGACTACATGCATATTTGCAGCAAAACATTAGGTTAAAACGAATAGAAGATGCTCTTATCTATCTGTCATAGAACAAATCTGTCACATGTCATTAGCAAGGCTATTAAAAAAACATAAAAACAATCTAATAAAGAGCTGTTGAATCCAAAAATATAACTATCCCTTCAATAAAAGAAACTAAATGCAGGTGTCCTATTAATCAAATATTCACCTCCTGAGTAAGGCGTGGGTGAGTCGCCTTACCGCCTTTACAATCATGATACAATCTCAAGAGCGATAACTATGCAAGATGCAAATTAACGTTCCTAGGTCTAAGGAAATTACCATCGTCATTTACACTTCAATAATAGCAACAGGAGCTAATGATCTATTGTCACAGGGGATCCAATCACAAGCCAAATTAAAGGAGGCTTGTCGCCAAGCAGCGTTTTCTCATAGTCTAGCCATTGCATTGAGCTTTGCACATCCCAAAGTATAACTCATGGAGCTTGCACAACTGGATTCCAGCAAGACCAAAACAAAACAACAAAAAAAAATGGGGGGAAAGAACCGCACCTTGAGGGACGATGCCCCAGCTCTGGGACTCGGGCGAGATGGCCGACCGGAGCCTGGCCGACGCGACGGCGCTGTGGAGCGGCATCACGGACAACAAGCCCCCGCACACCGAGGGTAACCTGTCCACCCCACAACCGGAGCAATGTGAGCGGAGAAGGGAGGGACCGAAGCAGGGAGCGGGGGAGGAGGAGGAGGAGGGTTAACCTGTGGAGGGAGGAGGCGCGGCGCGAGGAGGCGGCGAGGAGGGGAGAGGGAGGAGCGGCGAGGGTGCGGCGGAGGGAGGCGGAGACGGCGCGGGCTAAAACCCTAGATCGGATCACCATGGGCGACGCCGCCATTCCGTCTCGCGGCGATGGAGGTTCCCAAGATAACAAGACGACAGAAGTGCTGCCTTCACTAGTAGTAGTGGTTTGGGGCTTTTCGCCCACGCATACGGGCACCGGATCAAATCTAATGTTTTTTCTTTTCTAAAAAAACTGATTTGTTGATTTGTTTTTTTAACGATTTTGCTATACAAAATTTTTTCCACTATAAATACAGTATAATTGTTTTTTTCTAGAATTATATAGTACAACGCACGCACATTCACCCCTATGAACGCACGCACACTCACCCCTATGAACGCACGCACGCAAAACCTACCCTATGAGTATTTTCGAAGACTGGGCCGGTAAATCCTGGGGATTGACGAAGTCACCACAGACGCCTCGCTGTCAAAAGAGCATGTAGCCTAGTGGTTACAAGTGTATCAGTAGCACCTTAGCTCCGTGAGTTTTTCATTTTTCAGGATTTAAATATAGTATAATTATAATATAATTATATTGTACTAACTCTATTTTTTAATACGTGACGTTGTTAAATTTTTAACGTATCATTCCCCTTATTCAATTTTTTTAACAAATATAAAAGAATTAAGTCACGATTGAAGAAAACATTTGATGATAACTTACAATAAAATAAATGATAATTACCCTTTTTAATAACATAAATGATCAAACGTGTCTAAAAAGCCTCAAAAAGTTAATGATATCATATATATTGAAAAGGGAGAGAGTAACTTGCACATAACTATAATATCTTATATTTAACTTTCACATTATTCTGTAATGTAACTTGTATTTAACTTTCACATCATTCTAAATTGTTAGATTTACTTTAAGATTTATGCAAGTTGGGTAGATAAAAATCATAGTGCATGTATGGATGATGAGATTTGATCATGCAACCTCCATAGCTCTGTTTCACGAAAGGAGAATGTTACCGCGAAATTTTTAAAAGTTACGTATAAATTATAAATTATATTATATATAGCTAATGTAATCACACTATGATTACACTACATTTACATTTGATAATTTTTTTGGAGGAATTTTTTTGGCAAATGTATAGCCAGTCTCTTTTTTAATATATCCTATCATGTGATAACACGATGAGTCTCCTCTGCAATACTGCTCTCTAACGTGTATCATTGACATGTGACCATTACATATATCAGCCACTTAAAGAACAATATGGCAGATAATTTGTTTCCGCGATATTGATGGGGACAAAAGAATGCACACAAAGTAAGATAAACATATCATTCTTTCCACTAGTTTAGGGTATTATAAACTGGACTTTTTTTTCTTAAATACTAAAGTTAAGAATGTTATGTTTATATATATTTAAGACACAATACACATCTTTATAGGTTTGTAAATAGTTTCCAAAAAGACAAGTAATCAAACCGTGGAAGTGAATAGTGCCCTATTTGTTATTTCAAAACGATGGGACTAATTCATATTAAATTTAGAATAGGGGAATTATGTTCTTTGCCCCTATTTTTAGTTACAGTTTGTGATTCTCCCCTCTCTATTTGTTTAGTATTGTGCCCTTGTTTTTTTTTTAACGAAGCAAGTGTTTGTGCCTAGTTTGGATGGTATTGGTATGGATTAGCAATTGTGCACTTGCATCACACAGGCGGTGGTCGACGGGAGATGATTTGGGCATCCCCATCGATCTTCTTGGCAACTGACGAAGGGGAGAAGGGTTGGCACGCGCAGCGGGAGAGGAGCGCGGCGGTGGCTCCCGGTCGCTCCTACCCCCTCTTCCTCGCGAGCTTGCCGGTGGCGTCGAGCTCCCGATTCACCCGCGTAACACACTCCTGTGCCAACGAGATCACGCGAGCTGGTTCTCGGTGATGACTTCCTGCAGAGAGGATGGGTGATGATGGTGCAGCGCGTCGGCTTTTATAGCCGCGGCAAGGGAGGACGAGGATGGCGTCGGACCACGGGGCCTCCCAGCTTCCTCCGCTAACTAGTCGTGCTCGGTGACGTCGCCGACACTAATGTACATTTCCTCTCCGCCGGCCACCAGTCTTCTCCCCACTCGTCTTTTCCAGTGAGCGCTGCCGCCACTAGCGAGGGCCACCGCCAGTCGCCGCGCGCCTTCGGTTCTCCCCATCGCCGGTCGGCAAGAAGGGGAGGACTGGAGGAATAGAGGTGGAGAGAGGGTAAGTAGTCACTTACACATGGAGCCCACGCTAACTTAGCTGTCACATCGGACAAAATCGAGGATAAAAACCGTCTAAAAATCTATAATGATCTAAGTTTTGTAAGTTGAGGAATAGCATATATCTGTTTTTTTTTAATTTAGGGATAATTTCTTAACTATGCGACAAGACAAGGGACCTTATATGTATGAATATAGGCGTTATAAAATATGCAGCCGTAAATTATGACAAAGTCAGTCCGTTCGCGACCCAACCGGCTTAACCGGCTGGCCTCGGCTACTCGGCCCAATATCCCCGCCGGCCCACCAATCTGGCCAACAACTCAGTCCCTAACGCCGCCGCCAATCTCGCCGCCTCCGCCCTGAGCCCCGGCAGCTTTGTTTTGGCCTCTCCGTCGCCGGCGGCCATCCTCGCTTCTTGGCAGCTCGCGCGACGCGCCGGACCAGCCGACTCGTCCTCCCTCCAGGTTCCACGTATGTGATTCATTCTTCTGAAGTTTTTCAGTTCGGGAATTCAGCCCTTATCCGACTATGTAATTCCGAATGCATCGAAGTATATAAATGCTAGCTTAGCTTAGGGGAACTGAGGTGGATAGTTAGTTCCTCCATTCCATGTGTAATCGTTCTGAGCCGTGGATTACTGGAAAAATCTGTGTGTATTTCTATTTTCTGTGCTGATTTATGCATTGTTGGATGAGTGTGTTTTTTATGGGCTTGTGAACTGTTGCAAACTGCAGGCCTTGAGGTTATTTTCTGCCAATGCCAGCATCAACTATGTGCTCATTGCCACAAACTGTCGTTGCCTCTGCTGCAACCGCGCAATTCACAGGTAACTAATCTCTTTCTGAGGTCCAGCATTTTGCGTGATAATCTAATTAGGCTCAGCAATTAGCATTTAGACGGCTTTTTTTTTGTTGATTCCTCGCTTAACGCTCCCACTAGTAAAAGAAAAATGTAAGTGATACATTGAGATTCACATAAGCACATATTTTATTATCTAAAAAGAAAACATAAGCACACATTTTATATGTTGGTTACTGATATCTCTATGAGTATGAACATTGGACAAATGAAAAGGATATTTGTTTATTTTATATTTTGAGTTGAAAATTAGTTTTGCATTTAGTTTGGATTACAATAAAAAGTTAGTAGTCAAAGTTATGGGTTTGAAATAATGTCAACATCCTAAACATCATTTATATGTGACAGCAGGATGAGGTCAAGTGTTTAAATTTTCAAGTAGCCGATTAGTTGTATTTATATCCGAATTGTTTTTAGTTGATGATATGTGTTGATGCCTTTATTTTGGGTGTCAATAATATATTGAGTTTCCTCAATCATCATGCAGATATTATAGTTGATAATGTTTGTTATCGTCTTTATTTTCAAAATGGTCCAATATAAATCCCTCATTTGATTTCACTATAACTATACATATAAAATTTGTGCCTGTTGTGCATTTATATTTTCTTTTAAATTCTGTGTACTTTGTGTATTTCTTTAGAGGCATGCAATTGTTCAATACTTGAAATATGGATAGAACACCTAATCAGGGGCTGACCTTCCCTTGTGGCAAGTGGTGGCATGTCATACCTAACTTCTGGCGTGAACAACCCCTGAAAATAGACACTGAATGTTCCATTAGTTGTGGCTACGAGGGAGGCAAGGGGCAAACGAGCTTGGCTATAAAAATGTCATTTGATTGCCTGACACACCTAGCGCAGAGCAGTTGCTAGTTCGGGGGCCTCCTGTGGGCAGAGGAGACATGGCTACGATGGTCCAATGAGAGATTAGCAGAGTGCTGGCATCAAGCCAATCAGTTTCTTCATTTTTCTTTGTTTGTGCGCTTTATGGTTAAACTGCTAATCTATTTGTACAAGCTAGCACTGATCAATGACAATGCTACTGGCTGCATCTGTTGGATTATTGCTTGAGGAATTGACCAAAAAGTGTCATAACTGATTTTGAGACAGTAGCAGCAAATATTTGGAGAATATATTGGAACATTGGATGATCCATTGTACACAACTTCACTTATAATGATTTATCCCAACAGTATCAATTCTCTAGTTCTAATAAGAGATCAGCTATTTCTATACTTTTTAATTACTTTAATTGGGCATTTGGATGTGCACACTGTCTTTTTTACATGAGAACAGCATTAACGTTTTGCCGTGTCAATATTTTTGGAAACAGCATGCTACAGCATACCAACATATTGTGTGTCGGTATTGCTATGTCCAACAAGTCTGCCGGTATTCATATGTCTAACAAGTCCACCATACCGATAATTTTGTGCTGTGTCCGCCACTGCACCTAATCAGTTGGGATTGGGTGAATGAACTTTTGGTTTCTGATCCTGGATAAAACTGGCAGCATTTTTTTTGTGCAGATTCTGCCAGTAGTGTCAGTTTGTCCTTGTATATGGTTTGTGAATTTTGAATTTGTAACCTAATACCACTTGCTACTGACAGTATGTCACTATATATTTTTTTACTTACATATAGTAGTACTGCAATTGTAGCATAGCTATGAGATATTCCCTGTTAGCACTTTACACTGATAAAAAAGAAGTTTATCAATTAGAAAAGTTTTTTCACTTAAGTGTATTGCAGAAATTAATTCATGTCGTTTTGATGCAGAAAGATGCAATGACTTGCCTATGCCATGTTCACAAATTCTGAGGGCTAAAGTCAATTCCCTATCATTTTCAAGGAAGGTGCCCACTAAACCAACATTGCATGTATGCTTTCTTTTACTCAGTAGCTGTGTTTCTTTAGTCCAATGAAATGCTTCATTAACTTGTTCTGTGGAAGAGTGCTCTGTGAATTGACATATTGACAAAGTACAATAATTTATCAAACAAGACATTTCCTATCATACTTACAAACTGTGTATCTTATCCTTTTGCATTTGCACATAGTATATCCCATGCCACTGCTGCTATGTTGGCAATTGCACACAACCTGGAAGGTTCTACAGATATCTACTAAATGCATAGATCTCAGAAAATTCAGAACAGAATGCATCAGAATATACTCATTACGTCTTCCTGATGTTACCTTGTTATAGTATGATTAAGTTGATTGTATAAGCCATCAAAAGTTCAGTATGCGGTGATACTATGATTGTTTTACATTGTACTCCTTCAGATAATTGTGAGGGCAGAGTTACATTGTTACTGGCAAATTTGAAATAGCAATATGGAGATAAATATGAGTTTTAGAATGAGACAGATCCATTTTTCAACATTAGCTTTTTGTAAAAGATTATATAGCATCTAATGAATGTGCATTTGTTTGTTATGTGCCTTATGGATATAATTAAAAAATGTAAAAATATAGTACTCCCTCTGTCCCATAATATAAGGGATTTTAAGTTTTTGCTTGCACTGTTTAACCACTCGTCTTATTCAAAAAATTTGTGCAAATATAAAAAACGAAAAGTTGTGCTTAAAGTACTTTGGATAATAAAGTAAGTCAAAAAAATAAATAATAATTCTAATTTTTTTTGAATAAGACGAGTGATCAAACAGTGCAAGCAAAAACTCAAAATCCATTATATTATGGGACGGAGGGAGTACTGAGCTAGTCAACGGTTATGCACTCCAGCTTTAGGCAGAAGAAAAAATCAGTCAAATTTAGACAGATCCTTCTGCTATAAACAGATATGAAAATCACAGTCAAACTCAGTAGTTCCATGTTGCTACTTAGACTAAAAGAGGAGGTGCCTTCTTTATTTTTTGACTATGACCAAACACGATGATGCATTACTGTAGCTGCAGTTATTTCCTTGTTGAACTTTGAATTGAGGAAGCAATCCATTTTGTTCTCTTGTGAGTTATGATCACTAAGCATGAATTCTACCTTTAATTAACATATTGACTTCAGAATTTAAGATGCCATGCGACTCAAACCCAAAGCACACAACGGAAATCTGCGACTGCAACCATCCAACGCTCTGATCCCAAAGGTAAAAAAAGTTCTGGATGCATTACCTCAATTGAATCTACTGATGGTGTGCTAACTTATGTAAACATGTATTTGATCTCATATGGCTCATCTATGGATTTCAGGGAAACTTAAAGGTCCTAAACTTGATGATGGAAGTGGAGGCTTCCCACCATTCCGCTTTGGTAAAGGCGGTGGAGGTGGCGGAGGTGGCGGTGGGGGCAGTAACTACTTCGGCGGGTTCCTCCTGTTCACCTGCGTTTTGCTTATGGATTACTTGAAGGAATTCGAGAAGAACTTGCTTTTGCAAAGGCATCGTATAGGAGATGAAGCAACCCTTGGCCTTGCACAATAATTTTCGTCATCATTAGTTGCTGGTGTTTGATGTAAATTACTTGATCAATTGCTGATGGTTGCCATCAAGCATGTTCGTGATTCACCATGTGTTGTTACATCAGAGATCAGACTAGCTTCCATTAACTCTACAAGAAATTGCCGTTATCTGCACCAGAAATTACATATTCAGGCTATTATTTATTGGCTGATAATAACACTCAATTTCCCTCTTCCTTGGATATATTTTATTGGCTGAGATATTTATATCACAAAAATATCACCAAGATGGTGATATGTATCAATATACTCCCTTTGTTTTTTAATAAATGACGCCATTAACTTTTCGATACACGTTTGACCATTTGTCTTATTCAAAAATTTTGTGCAAATGCATAAAATATAAATCATGCTTGAAGTACTTTTACTGATAAAACAACTCAACAAAATAATTACAATTTTTTTTAATAAGACCATTGGTCAAACGTATATTCAAGTCAACGGTGTTATCTATTAAAAAAACAGAGGTGATATCATACAATAAATTTCTGAACAACAGACTAGAGAAATCATATAAGTAAAGAAATTGCGTGTTAAATTAATTACACAATCAGAGGGGAAAAATTGTTGCCTGCTCTGCTTTACACCTCATGAATGTCTGATGCTACATTGCCGGTTGCCTGAAATGGCAACAAAAAAATTACATAATTTTTTTAATAAGCCGATTGGTCAAACGTATATCAAAATCAATAGTCATCTATTAAAAAAACAGAGGTGGTATCATATAATATATTTCTGAACAGACTAGAGAAATCATATAAATAAAGAAATTGCGTGTTAAATTAATTACACAATCAGAGGGGAAAAATTGTTGCCTGCTCTGCTTTACACCTCATGAATGGCTGATGCTACATTGCCGGTTGCCTGAAATGGCAACAAGGACTACACTATTCCATATGTACACCGTGGTGTGCTTTTTGTGCTACAGACTTTTGACATGAAACAGGCTAAAAATCTACATCAACTAGCTTGACCACCGCAATTCGATGCTGATGGACTTGCTTTAGGACTTTCAGGGCCATCAGGAACTTTGAGTTTTTCTTTTTCCACAGCATTTAGTGGGGGTAAAATTGTGGCTGATTCATCATGTTTTCGAGTATCCAACTGCATTGCCGCCTCTGATGACCTGTTGGCTTCTGCTATCCCAGTAAAGCAACCATTGAAAATTAAAGAAACAAACAATAAAAAAAGTTAGTGCTGCAATAAGCAACAACTCATTTCGCATATATAAATGAATATTTGAATAAAATGCTATAGCATTTTAGAATATCCATGCAGCTAAACAATGTTGTGTCAACAAATCAATTTTAAATCTTCGTAATGTGGTAGTATCACAAATATTTCACTGAGGTTCTATAGGAATTGGGCTAGGAATTTATGAATTACTCCCTCTTTCCCAAATTGATCATCATATAATAGAATTCAAAATTTCTCAAATTGATGATTATATAACCGCATGGACACGGATTTCATTAGAATACAATTAATGCAGCATGAGAGAATGTGTGCATGCTAAGGTGTAATTGGCATGGTGTTTTAAACGATGAATGCATTGTGGAAGAATGTGTGCATGGTGTCTTGATTGATGTGATTTAAATTGTCCTTGGTAATGCATAAACTTATATGATGATCAATTTGGGAAGGAGGGAGTAATCAACTTCAAAATCTCCACAAGAAGGCTAACAAGAGTTGTTTTCTTTGGAACCACTATATATATCCTAGATATGATCTAACTTGTGTATAGTTCTAACCACATTGCTGAAATTTAAATTTTCTGAATTTAACTCACCATGTTAACTTTCCTATACAAATACGACAGTTCCTGCTACTTCCAATAGGTTAACTTGAAAACTAAGTGCACTAGCAGGGGTTTATTCACTTGCACAATAACCAACTCTAGTGAGCTCAATATGTCAAATCACCCTCTGTCAATTTATCAACATCGTTTAAGGGATAGAAATATCTTAGCAAATTCCGTACCATTTATTTTTCCACGTGTGATGACTGTCCGGAGGTAGTCTCGAAACCCTGTCAACACTGCTTTTTCTTGCTGAGCATTTAGTTCTGAAGTGTCTTGATCATGCAATGCCACTGGAAATGAAATTCTATAATCCGTTCCAAATGTACTATCTTGCTCATCACACATCAATGCTTGTGTTCCTGGAGAGGCTGGCCTAGAATCCTCTAGGCTGTTACAGCAAGGACCAAAATCACCTCCATTTTGCTGATCCATATTGGTTGCACCATCAGAATCTGTGTGGATTTCCCTTTCTACTTCCATCTCCCCTTTGTTTTCTGCAAAATCGAAAATATTTTTTTAATAAAAATACAGTAACAGTACTCCATCAGCATTTGGTGCTCAAACTATATAAATAAATTAATGTATACTAAAGTTTGCACCAAAGTGATAGTTTGCAATGGACACGCAACTTAATGAGACAAAGCTATCTTCTGTAGGCACATAATTTTCAAATTGAAAATAGCAAACAGAATGTCTATTGACACACTCATACTAATTGTATTGCAAAACACTCATGCAAGACATATTCCATTTTTCTTATTAATAGTTTATAAAAATATATGCAGGCATCTGGAGTCCTCCATCCATGTTCAGTTAACATTTTGACCAGCCAAGTAACATGCAACTAAAAACACAGGAAGGATAATGTCTTTCTGATCACCGAGGTAGTCCACCTTTCCATCATGAATGTATTTTTCTTATATGATGCTTCGACTATGACTTGGTCAAACTTTTGAAACTTAACCATCAATAGTTCTCAAAATATTTAGTTTGAAAACATAGAAATCATATGGGTAGATTATTTTTTTCATTATATGTACTTTTGCAATATTATATTATTTAGGCATTATCGTTATATTCTAATAGAAAATAGTGGTCAAAATTGCGCACCATAGACCGAATAAAGTTAACAGCCTCATATATTTAAATACAGAGTAATTTATCTATTTTGCATGTTCATTCATGGAAGTTCTGAAATTAGATCAGTTAAAGGAGAACAATAAAATCGTGTACCAGCTGTCGTCAGGAATGCGTCTGCTGCCTTTCTGCATACAATCACCAAATGCTTGGCTAGACCAGTAGCATCCGTAGGGCTGATAGTGTTTGCTAACGCAGACCTAAAAAATATTTGATAAGTAAACAAAATAAGTATCAAGGTACACAACTGCAGCAATTTCTGTTAACAAGCATGTCCAGGAAGTAGTGCCTATATTTGTTAGCATGCAGCCAAACTGTTCAAATTTTGGCTACTGACATAGGTAAACGAACATTTTCTTAATATTAATATATTCAATACAGCAAATCAGAATACTTCCATGATGATATATTTTTGCAGTATGTTATTATCATGCTTCAAATTAGTAGTCCAAATGATATTTTTAAGATCAGTTGATTTCCAAACATGTTTTCATGAACAGATAAAATCAACGCTTCAGTATTTTAACATTAACTGTGTGGCTAGTAGAACCTCTAGATGGCAAAACCATAAGAAGTTGATGCCAAAGGGGTACTTTTTTTAAAATCACAAGCCTTGTGAGTTGCCATTCCTGACCACTTGATGACTTGAACACAGGAGGTCACTGCCACAAAGAAGCTGAGATGGTGCTGGCCATCCTTTCTTTATAATCCTTTGGCCATCAATTTATTCTGGATATAATTTGGCTATGGAGTTCATATCTGTTTTTTTCTTAGTTTATCTAGTACAACAATCCAACATGGTTTTACTTACCTATAGACCACGTTAGATCTACTCTGGTAGTTACTATAACACCCTTCGAGTCCAGTCGAAGAAGTAATTTCTGAAGAGTCCACATGGTTAGCCTGTAGAAAACAAGAAACAGTTACGATTCCAGGAAATTCACAGCTAAAGTTACACAAAATCATAGCAGCGTGAAGTTGATGAACAGCCAACTATGTTTTGAGTTTAAAGAACTATCCAGAAGCAAAACTATACTACCGAGAAACAAAATGTGTTACACTATACCAGAATTTAATCTAACAGGTTATTTATCATGGAACCAGCCCAAGTGGACAATACCTCTTGAAACTGTGTTTGCATCGTGCTTCCTTCACCATTTAGTTTCTGATAAAGATGATCTTCTGGAGGCCTTTTCCTACGCACTGGAGAATATCTATACCCTGAGGATCCAATTGCACCATTCAAAGCAACATTGGCAGCATGTTGAATGTTATTTCGATCTGATGAGTTGTCCCCTTGAGTTATAAGCCGTAGCTCCTCGCTTCCTTCAAAATTCTTGCAATCCTGGCATTTACAATTCTTGGAGCAAAGGATATTTGCTTGAAAGCATTCACAGTACTTCTTGAGACATCCTGACTTCTTGCAATGGCAACCTTTATTATGCTTTGGAAGTGAGGCTGGTGCTCCAGCATCATCCTGGTGTGCAGTTAAGATTAATCAAATGCATAAAAATATCACATGAAGAGAATGTTGTATATAAATCTACCAAACAAAATGAGTTTGAAAATTCAAAAGAAACACTAAGCAAAATATAACTGGTTTAACATGGTGGGCAGTGCAGAAGAGTTTAGTTTATAAACAACATAGATTGCAAAATAAAAAATGTGAGCTATTAGCCATTTGGTCTATTAGTGGTTGATACCATGAAATCTTTCTATTAGTCACCTACACACATTCTAGAATGTGCAGGAACTGATCAAATAGTTTGCTACAATTGAGGAACAAGTATAATACGCTGTGCAGAGAGTCCTAAACAAGATCAGCGAGTCCTTCAGCAATCATTTTGTAAATAAACTACTGTTTAGTGTAAAAATGTGCAAAAGCAAGATTTCAGATTACATGGTATGATATATTTCAAGTGATTCCATTTTTTAAAAAACTAAATTTCACTTGATAAAGCAAAAGTGGAATTTTTAACTATAGGCTGTTGCTGTTATGTATCTCTGGTTCAATGTGTGGTGTTTCTAGATACAGATAGAACGTTCATTTTCTGCAAACTATTGGTCAAATGCGGAAATTCTGTCCAGGACTTGCAAACTTATAGATGACCATTTTATTATTAGTTTAGTTTTGTTTAATAGGTAATATTAATTGACTAGCTTTTATTATTAGCATAGAAACACATAAATATAAATATTATTGCATCAAATGATATGTTTTAATGCAACCGATGAGATGTTTAGTTGCTACATAGCTTTTCCTTTTCCAATTTTTTTTGCCAGCCTGGCAAGAAAGGCTGTAGATGAAAATTTATTGAGGTTACAAAAGAGGCTAGCAGCCATTATAGGGCTATTCGTGAGATTCTAGCTTCATCTTAGAAGGTTCAGAAAGCAGACTGTCCTCGTACTCTTGCTCTAGGATTTCTTCCAACTTATAGCCGGCTTCATTAGCATCGTCTTGTAGGGTACATAATAAATATGAAAGCAGAAATGTAGAACTAATATGTTGTATAAGTTTTATTACCTACTTTATCTTAGAGGGTATCTACTGTTGTGTGTAAGCTATTCCCCTATTGGATGTTGCAAAAATACATGATGCACATTAACATTCTATTAGAGGAAAGCATGTAGTACCTTTCTAAGATTAAGTGCATTTGAACCATTTTCAATCTTAGGTTGGAAGGCTTTTGGATTCCGTTGCTTCGTACTGTTAATGGCCTCCTGCCTAGCACTTTCATTCCCAACATAGTTTCCACATTGTTTACAATGGCAGCCATCACAATAAAGACCTGCTGCAAAACACTCGCAGTACCTAACAGATAAAACACCATTAGTGATCTATTCACATGATGAACTGTTTGAAAATAAATGACCTTATTTTATACATTAAACCAGATCCATCAACTCACCCCATGAAACAAGAAACCTTGAATATATGATAGTATAAACCAAAGAGATAAATCTGCAATTTTTGTTTCAAAATTATATATTAAAATTTTATTGATATTCTTACTACCAAAGCATGAGATACTTTTTATAATTCAAATTAACCAAGGACTCTAAAGCACCATTTTGGATCAGAAGGCGCTGGCTACTTGGGCATGGCACAAGCCCGGGGCTAGCTTTATTAGAAAGTGCACATATAATGGATCTTACCCATACAATTGATCTATTTGTCCAGTAAAAAGGTCAAGGATGCTGGAGCATGCTCTAACATTAATTGATCGTGATAATCAACTTAATTTTTATTCAAACAGAAGTCATTGAAATTAATCTTGACGCAATGACAACATTCTTTCCATGCTAATGTAATGTACACGTATGCGTGCTATTAACTTACATGTTTTCTTTTCAATATTTCATAGGAATGTCTAAGTAAACTTTCATGTGCTAGTAAACTCACAGCTTTAGACATTGTGAATTTTTGCAATTACAATGTTTCTTTCTCTTTGTTGAAGGAGTACTCTTAATTTCAGCCACCGGCTTCCTGAAAGAAAACAAAAGGAACATCAGTAAATGGAGTTGTTTAAAAATGTAATATTGTGCTTGCTCTTGTTATCTCCAAACAGGAGGTAACATGACATATGAATCAAGAAATAAAATGGTTTTCACAAGCAACTAGTATACCATGGAAGTTCATTTCCAGTAAATTTGGAGAATATACATATGTCTCTATTGTAGCATAGTGAGATTTTCTCCATATGCACTTTGAGGTGTAAGAGCCACAAAGATAACTCTGTACAACAAAGACCCATGCTCTCAAAATGAAATGCAGTAGATAACTAGATATAGCGGTAGCAAATACATCAAGGTGAATGACATATAGCATACTTACACTGACATTCATAGGAATTCAAATTTGAAAATGCTGAAACATCTAACAGCACTAAAAACAGAACAGCGAGACCATGATAATAGTACATGACAAACTCGATAGTAACAAGCAAAGCACTGTCAAGAAGTAATGCGTCTAATTCTACACTTCCACAGGACTATCTAGTCCCTCCCAAAAAAGAAACTATCTGATTTTGACCTCGATTCTTCTCCTCCTACTTGGGTTCCTACTATATTATATATATCTATGAAACCACATAAAAAAACTTTTGAAAGAAGTTCACTAGACAGATAGATAAAACTCAAAGCTCCTCGATTGAGCTACCAACACAAGACAAATCGCAGCAAGTGGATTCAAAACTCAAAAAAAAGAAACGAAATTTACTCACGGAGGGATGAAGGCCACTGGCCACGGCCTCGGCGTGGGCATCTGAGGCTGCACTGGGGCCGCCGGTTTCTGCTGCGGCTGCGGCTGCGGCGGTGTCGCCTTCGCCTCCGCTGCTGCTGCTGCAGGCGCGGGCGCCGCTGGCTCTGGCTCTGACTCCGGCTGCTGCGGCTGCTGTTGCATCTGCTTCTTCTCCATCATCAACCAAACCAAAATAGGTCACGAGGAAACCAAAAATCCACCAGCCGGGTTCACCGATTCAGCCACATGAACCACTCCGCCCGCCCCAAATACCGAATCTTTGAGCGGCCCTCGCCGGAATTGGCGCGGCTCCGGATCAAAGCAAGCCCCCAAGAACTCCTGGATGGCCTCTCCCAACTCGAAAAAAGAAAAAAGAAAAAGCAAACAAGGGGCAACAAAAAGGGAGGGACCGCCAGGCGGGAGGGGGGATCAAATCCAGCGAGTCGAATTCGGCGTGGGGATGGATGGGAGGAGGAGGTCGGAGAAGCGGAATCGGAGAGGAAAATTTGCGCCTTTTTTTTGGATTTGGGAGGAGAAAAGAAGAAGCTGATGGGCGAACGCAGGGAGGTTTGGTTTGGTCTCTGTCTTCCAAGTTTTTGAATCTCCCCAGTGTTTATATTCCCCTCTGTTTCCTTTTTTATCCACCTCTTCTTCCGACTTTTTCTTTTTTTAAAAAAAAATTGTTTTTGGGTTCCTTAGCTGATGATGGATTTAATTTGGCAGGTTTTTTTGGATGAATCTGTTGCGGATTTGAACGGCAGGTTTTTTTGAAGAATCTTGTTGAGTATTTCACGGGTTTTGAAATTTTTTTTTCTTTCGGACAGATTTGAGCTGTTGATTTGTCATCGGACGGGTGATTACATTTACAGCAATGCTCCTAAGGACAGGATACATATGGCCCACGTACTGGTTGGGTATCACTTCGACTGTCCGACATGGATATATGGTGCATAGAAAATGTCCTTTTTAAATGAGAAAAATTCATAAAATCCAGGATAATTTTACACATGACATGTACCACGCCGTTATCCTTATTTAACTTGTTATATTGTAGCAAAATAAAAGGCGTCTAGCTTGATATCTGATTATACCATTATACTCGTTGTAATTAAAATCTTTATAAAAAGATATATTATAATTATATCTTAATAAAAGAAAAATATATGTTTCAATTGTTAAAGAAATCAATGTTTCATACATTATAGCGACATGTTTCAACATGTATTTTACCGTGTTTCACAAAATTTACACAAATACATGCTCTAACTCTCTCTCTCCCCCCTACCGTACTATTTTATCTCTCTATTCCATTCATACATGCATCTTCAAAATAATATCTCTTCTAAACTACTTATCTGATCTACGATTCAATCACACTGTTATATTCATTGTAATTAAATCTTTACAATAAGATATCTCATGATTATATTTTTCATAAAATAAAATATATGTTTCGAACAGTTAAAACTCGATATGTTTCAACGTGTGTTTTTATTATGTTTCTCAAAATATTTAAATATTACAATTTCTGACTTTTTGCTTCACTATATATAATTTAATATTTCACTCATTATTCAACTCACGACCGTCTGATTTTTTTCAAGGAATCGCCTGATTTGTAATTTCTCCAACAATTAATTGCATATTATTTCCCCCCTCCACCTTACCTTGTTGTCACCCAAAGACCAAGAGTACTCCATCTACAAAAGAAAAAAGGCCTTCGACAATGTGAATTAACCAATGGATTAAGCAATTTACAGTAAAGCAATAAATTTAAGTAGCTGGCGGTGAATATGGAGGAACAAAAATGATCGGGTCACAAATACATGTAAGGACGTAATACGTATATATGCACCCGATACGATAGGTCGGATGGTTCATATGAAAGCTCCACATGACAGGTGCGCTACAAATCGCTCACGAGGCAGCAACGAATCTATAAACTTTCACTAGTTTTGCTATACCAACAACAAATTTGCTATGCACATTGTCGACGTTTGATGCCACGATTCCGGTATTTACATAGTATGTGGATCGTTGGTACTAGGATATATACGAGATTTTAATAAAAAAGATGGGGACGAGGATTTTTATACAGGTTTGGGCCCCTGAATTGTTAGTTAATAACCCTACTCCTGTTGGCCGAAGCTGGTCGTTGTTCTTATTCAGCACAATCACACCAGTACAATATTTGGGGTAGCCTATCTAATTGTTGTCGACTTGGCGGTATGAAGTGTTAACTCGTAGTCGACAACAGGGTAGCATTCCTTCTCGAATCCGCATCCGGCGAGATCAAAAACATCGCTATGTCTCTCCTAACAGTATCCGTAGACACCGTAGGGGACTAGCCATGCTTATATCTAAAGTCGATATCCGACGTCTTATCTTGGCGCATGTTGGCTTGTATATTGACCTTGTGTCTTGATCTATTGTTCTGTCTCCCCTCTCCTTCTAGGGGGCCTTCTTTTTATACCCATAGGTGTCCCCTTGTCCAAGCAGAACTAGGGAAACCAATATGGATACAATCAGAGTAGTCCTTGTCGTTTCCATGTAGAACTCTATTCATCCTTCCTTATGCGGAACTCCTCCTATATCTGAAGGTTGTTTTCATATAAGACATAGTATGTGGTGGGTCCTGCCGAGATTTAGTCAACTACTATTAAGTATATAGTATCCATAACCCTGACAGTAGCTCCCGACTTCAATGCAAATGAACAAATTCATATCCTCAACCGCAGACCTTGGAGTAACTGTTATCGAGCTCACGTGACCGTTCTCGGTGAGTTCAGAGATAACGTTAGACTTCCCTTATCAGCCTCGTGCGGGCACCGTATAGGGTTTGTCTGAGTCAATCTCCGATGTCAACCAAGAAAGTACAGAGCATACGACTAAGTCTCCCGTTTTGCTGTAATCGAGAATTTGGATTGAAGTCAAGAAATTTTATCTCAGCGGGTACACCATCTCTTCATTCCGTATTCCTTGTCGAGATCCACCAACCGTTCTCGAGTGATCGAGAAGGCGGAGAGTCTGCGACGGAACCTTGTCAATATTTTCCGTACTCGCCTTAGTCGATCTTGGTATAGAACCATAGAGACATGGAGTCCTCGACAATGTCGAATAGAATTTTCTTGAAAACAATACTTAAAAAAGAATATTAGATAGAAATAGCCCCCGAGCGGACGCTCAAAGGGTGATATGTTATAATATGTATGGAAAACTAAAAATGAATTAAATTTACAAACCAATGTTTTGTATATGAGCGTCTTCTCTTTTACCGACTTCGATCAGTCAGTTTGTTGAGTCATACACTCTCCCTAGCCCCCAACCTTGTCATCGGAGAATCGTTCTCGGAGGATAAGGCTCTTGGACCCTTGACCTGCCTTGGTTGAAAAAGCGCTTACCCTAGCCCCAAGCCGTGAAGTTGGAAAACTCAATTTCCGACTACACGGCTTGGTTAATACGCACGGTGAGAACTCTTACATGACCAGATCTTACATGGTGGTTTGTCTCTGCATGATCCGACAAGGCCTTATCCGCTCTGGGCGTCCCTAGCCGAAGTTCCCTTAGGTTCCTCGGAGGCCTTGCCAGGATGGCGTAAAGGGATAGTAGGATTGGTTTCAACTCTAGGTGTCGTTATGGTAAGGGATCTCTGGGTAAAATACTTGGCAATATTGCGTACCTAATATCAACTTTGTTGGAGTAAAGGAAATGGGAGAATCGCTATACCTCTGGTTGGGGACCAGGTAGTAGTCGTAACTCGACCACTTGAAGTAGAAATAGTGGGAGAAACGCTACACCGCTGGTCAAGGACCAGGTAGTAGCCGTAACTCGACCACTTAAAGTGGAAATAGTGGGAGAATCACTACACTGCTGGTTGAGAACCAAGTGCAGCCTTAACTCGACCACCTAAAGTGGAAGTAGTGGGAGAATCGCTACACCGCTGGTCGAGAACCAGGTGTAGTCTTAACTCGACCACTATAATTGAAGGTAGTGGGAGTATCGCTACGCCTCTGGTCGAGAACCAGGTGTAGCCTTAACTCGACCACTAGAAGTAAATGTACGAGAGATCGCTACGATTGACTGGTTGAGAACCAGTGAGTAGGTATCTCTCGAACATTTGGAGTTGGTACAAGGACCGCTACGCTGCCGGTCGAAGACCAGTCGTAGCTGTCCCTCAACCATCTGAATTCATCTGAAGTCGTGGTGCGAGAACTGCTACGCTATTGCCGTTGTCGTACTTCGACCATCAGGAGTTAAGGCGCGAGAGATCGCTACGTCCTAATGGTTTGAGAACCATGAGTAGAAGCCTCTCAATCACCTATAGGGGTGCTAAAGTTGGTTTGTTACATGTGCATCTCATGTGCCCAGCATGACTCACATACCCAACTTATAGCATATCCGGATGTCCGCTCGCAATCATGTCGGGTGATCAAGTCGACAACATTCACGAGAAGTAAAGCTAGTGGGAGTATCGCTACACCGCTTGGTCGAAAACCAGGTGTAGCCTCAACTCGACCATGAGAAGTAGAGGTGCGAGAGATCGCTAGAGCCTACTGGTCCGAGAACCAGGAGTAGCCTCATCTCTCAGCCGATTGATGTCGTGGTGCGAGGACCACTAAGCTGCTGGTCGAAGACCATTTGTAGTCGTACCTTGACCATTTGAAGTCGTGGTGCGAGGACCGCTACGCTATTGCCGTAGTCGTACCTCGACCATCTGAAGTTAAGGCGCGAGAGTTGGTTTATTACATGCGCATATTATGTGGCCAGCATGACTCACATACCCAACTTGTAACATATCCGGATGTCCGTCCGCAATCATGTCGGGTGATCAAGCCGACATCGTTCGCGAGCAATTATCCGTTAACAACCCTTTTCTCAAATAGCCCAGCCATAGCCGGTGCTATGAGATAGGTCATCGGTCTTCGTTGGTAGGTTGGGCGCGACAACTCTGCATTTGTCAAGAACGTTCTTGATAATGGGGTGTGCTCGACCACAACCTACTCGAGTGCTTAAATGTTCCTGAAATATATTTTTCTAGAAGGCAAGGCATATGGCAGAGAATATCGAGTATGTACTAAAAAACTGCATGGATCTTCTAGTATTATCAGTATATAACGAGCAGACGTAAATATCAGACATTACGTAAACCGTAAACAAGCATGATTATACAGAAGAGAACAGAGCGAGCCCCCAGCGTTAGACCGTAGTTGGCCTAATATCAGAAACGCTCGCACAACAGATACTGTATAAAAAACATGCTCTAGGTAAACATAATAAATTATTGATCTAACAATATTGTATGATCTTGAAAAATAGGTATGATAAATTTCATATAAAATATTGCGTACCTTTGTAGATACATGCCGGATGTATCTACAAAATTAGTAGATTAATTTACGAAATCAATCTACTAAATACCTTACCGTGCTTCTGCATGCATGGTACTGTCCCCCGTGTAAGCACCTTGTATTTTGGTCCTTTAATTGATCCATTTGCCATGTCGTCGGAACAAACAACCAGGGTGCTGCCTAGAGATTGGATCCTATAGCAAACATGAGAAGTCCTCCAATCCGACTTAGAATTTACACCAATGATCGAACAGATCCACGCCGGATTGGATCTAGCTCCCCGGTGCTCGTTTTGCTTGGTGGAGATTGATGCCGACTTCTCCTCGACTCAGCCAGCCGATTCTTCACACAAGTCGATGCCGCACACGTGGAGGAATCGGTATCGTATTGCTCTTGGATGCTGCCGACACAGTAGCTCTCCTCGACGAAGATGGTTCCGATTCCGTCGGGGGACGTACTCTGGTCGGGTTAGATCTCCTCACAGCCGAAGTCATCGAGTAGCTTGTTATTGGAGAATCCATCTCTTAAACCCATCTCGTCGAAACCTTGAAGCACCAAAAGATCCCCTACCTGATGCGCCACTGTCGACGTTTTATGTCGCGATTCTGGTATTTGCATAGTATGGGGATCGTTGGTACTAGGATATATGCGAGATTGTAATAAAAGAGATGTGGACGAGGATTTTTATATAGGTTCGGGCCCCTGAATTGTCAGGTAATAACCATACTCCTGTTGGCCGAAGCCAGTCGTTGCTCTTATTCAGCATAATCACACCAGTACAATATTTGGGGTAGCTTATCTAACTGTTGTCGACTTAGTGGTATGAAATGTTGACTCGTAGTCGACAACAGGGTAGCCTTCCTTCTCGAATCCGCATCCGGCGAGATCAAAGACAGCGCTATGTCTCTCCTGACAGTATCCGTAGACATCGTAGGGGACTAGCCATGCTTATCTCTGAAGTCGATATCCGGCGTCTTGTCTTGGCGCATGTTGGCTTGTATGTTGACCTTGTGTCTTGATCTATTGTTCTGTCTCCCCTCTCCTTCTAGGGGGCCTTGTATTTATATCCATAGGTGTCCTCTTGTCCAAGTAGAACTAGGGAAACCAATATGGATACAATCCGAGTAGTCCTTGTCGTTTCCATGTAGAACTCTATTCATCCTTCCTTATGCGGAACTCCTCCTATATCCGAAGGTTGTTTTCGTATAAAACATGGTATGTGGTGGGTCCTGCCGAGATTTAGTCAACTACTACTAAGTATATGGTATCCATAACCCTGACAAACATGCTATATTTTAATTGGATGTTAGAGAACCTAGGAATTTGTCATATTTATTGTAATGAAATATTACCTTTTTTAATTGTTATCCTTTAATGAAAGGAAAAAGTCAAAATAATCCCCTAAACTTTGGGTGGAAGTTCATCTAACACCCTGAGCTTTAAAACCGGACATTCAACCCCCTAAACTTTATAATATCGTTTATATAATAAGATGGTTTTGCATAGTGGTTTTTATCTAATTTATATATAAGTTGGATGAGTTTGATCACATGTCACATACTTTGGACTTAAATCTTTCTTTTTTTTTCTCCTCATTAGCTCTCACTTACAAATAAGTACCAACATAATAACAATATGATATCACTGTATAATAATAAATTGATGACTTATAACTGATGATATGCAAATATGCTATTTTAGTTTTTTTGAAATTGTTAGTTTAAGCTTCCAAAATATGCAAAACCATCATCCATAACCACCTTAGGGGGTAGTATAGATGGCATGGGAAAGTTCAGGGGGTTGGACATCCAGTTTTAAAGTTTAGCGTGCTAGATAAACTTTCATCTAAAGTTTAGGATGATATTTGGACTTTTTTCTTGATAAAATTTAATTCTTAGGGTCCGGATTACCGGCTTGCTCAATTGCGCCGGTTTGCTGTTTCGTCAGGGAATGAAGATTGAAAATAGTGTCCGATGTTATTTCATTTACTTTACATGTGCTAGAGTAAACCCTAGATAAACTTTTGTAGTAATTCAAAGTGGTGGTGTGGGATTTACTTTACATGTTGATCCTTTTTTTTTTACATATCTTTTGTTTCCTCTAATCGTAAGAAAGGGTTATAATGTCATCTTTAATATAATCAGTCATGTCCCACAAAGAGAGAGAGAGAGAGAGAGAGAGAGAGAGAGAGAGAGAGAGAGATCAAGTTTTAGTATGCATGACATGTAAATATTGTACTTAATTGCATAAACAAATTTTAAGAGCTTTCAATGTCATAAAGGAATTTGCACAATCCAAATTGTGGCTGGGTTCCCAACTTCCCATGTTTACGCCACATGAAAACACAGTACAAATTAATATTCATCATAATAAGTTCCCAAACTAAGTTTCTTTCGTTATGAGAGGCTGAGAGCAATAAGATACTTCTAGTAGTGACATAATACAGAGTTATACGCTTTGGTGCCTGAAATTGCCCCAATCCTGGAGCACAAATTGTTCAAGATGACACAAAGTGGAAATATTACAGATTCCTCAAAATTGCTCAAATACAAAATACAAACACAAACCAAAAGAAGAATATAAACCATTCACACTACTCTGCAGTTGAATCGGAAGTACTCATGAATCCACCTAAGAAGCCAGCACCATTGCAGCTACCGCACAAGATTTCCCGCTTTCCTCTGTATAATTTTGAATGAATTTGCATAAGAAAACATAAATATGACGTAATTCTAATTGAGATGTATGCTTAATCAACTACTTGTAATGGGCCAAGATTTCTTTCTACCTGCAAAGCCAGCATAATGCTCCAGCTTTAAATCGGCCGTTGAAGTGATCGACAGAATTCACCCCATCTCCCTTGCACTGGTTGCACACTATTGCACCTGTTATTTTACCATGAGAGTTACAAGTTACAACCAAAACATGGCTGACACAAATTGACACAATGTAAGATTATTGTACTTCGAGAAATTACAAGGAAGTTGCTTCAGAGGATGATTGTACTCATACTGGTCAATAATACAAGAGAAGACTTTTATCATTTTGGACATTAGATAGCAGTTAACAGTACAACTACACCTTCTGTGTAAGATGTTTTCGTTTCTCACACTGTAAGGAAGCACATAACTATTTTAGCAAGTGCCCCAACAAAATACAATGGCCAACCTCTCTGTCGACGCGTAGAGTTGAATTCTAGATCACAAATTATCAAATTTCAAACAAAATCCAAATTTTTTTATGGTAAGAGTATAAAAAAATCGGTGCTATAAGTATTGTGGGAACAAGTAACAGAACACACAATCAACCCTTTTGTGTAACACCTACAGGGTTTTCTTGACAGTTTCTGCACTGAGGAAATCCACTGTGAAAAGAGTCCAAACCCAATCAGGAAACAATAGAACGGTCCGGAGGGTTTCAAACTAATTTCCACTACAGTTATATTGTCTCCACTTTCAATAATTCAGATAATGAGCTAACAGACTTAGAACAGTACATGCATATAGTGGACACAAAATGAAAATTAAAACATGTAACTTTGAAGAACCTCTACTTCTACTAATTTTAGACAAAAGGAAACTCACCGTTTCCTTCGCAGTCCTGGCAGACAAGGCTGCTTCCCTTCGGAGGACTCTTTTCGGTCTGATCATTTTCTGTGGCCTGTGTAGATGAACACTTTAAAACATTAGAAGATAAAACAAAGAAAGAGAACTAAAAACTTGTAAACATATTGCTCGCTCATTCCATATGTAAAATAAGGGGGGATATAAATGAGAAGTTTATGCGACAACTTAATCATGCGATCATATTTCTCTGTGGCAGACTAAAATGTTGTTCTTGTATACTACATATTATTGTGCAGAAGATGGATATTATCAACGTCAAGTTGTACTATTTATACTGTCAAAATCGAAGAAAGTTTTGCAATTGTCACATAAATTTCTCTTTGCAATGAAGAAAAATATATGGAATCTGTTCCACTGTCAAAATATTTTTGCCTTTACTCTACATGACAGAAAACGAAGGATAAAAGTGAAAAAAATCATCCATGTTCTGCACAAAGTTTTAATATGTGAATACAGAGAAAACATCAGATACACCTAGACAAGGGTTCCTCTCCAAATCCATCAATTCCTACTACAACCTGTGGGCAATTCATCAGCCACATGCTCAACCAAGTTCAACTGAATCATCACCACCCTATTATGTGGTCAATCAGTGTACTAGTGCTAGTACTCAATTAAAAAAAGGAAAATCAACAGAGGAGGAGATATGATATAAGCCAAAACGTTTACAGAGACGAAAGGGCAAAGAGGCAGAGTAGGAGTTTGCAGACCTTGGTCTTGACGGACTGGAACCTGGAGAAGCGAGAGACGGGCCGGAGAAAGGAGGCAGCGAGCGGGGAAGGGGCGGGTTTGAGGAGGAGCGGAGGGGAGGCGGCGGTCGCCGTGAGGCTCGAGGTGGCCGCCATTTGGGAGCAGCGAGCGAGAGAGCGAGCGAGCGAGAGCGAGGAGAGGAGAGATGGACGGCCAAAAGGGAAGTGGAGGCCAATCCACTCTGATAAGGAGACGCAAAACAAAAGGAGGCAAAAACCTTCCTTGCAGAGTCACCCCTTCGGAAGTGCGGTTTTGCAGGAAGATCCATCACAGGCAACGGGGCTGGCATCCCGTCCCCGTCCCCGGTGTGAAGAAAACCTTCCGCCCCCATCCCCATCCACGTTGCCACCCTCCTCTGTGCCGCCGCCGTTCGCGTCATCGGCCGCCGCGCACTCGTCTTCCTCTGCGTCGGCCTCCTGCTCCAGCTCCTCCCCCTCCCCTTCCCCAGCGCCGCGTCGCCCATAGCCGCCATCACCGCCGCCCACCGCCCAAGCACTGCGGGCCTTGCAGAGCAGAGAAGGGAGAGAGATGATGAAGGGAGAGAAGAGGTGAAAAAGAGAGATGTTGTGGCCACACTAACATGTGGGGCCCACGCCGACTCAGCCGCCACGTCGGTTGAAATCGGTTTCAAAACTAAAGGACCTAAAATGAAAAAAATGAACGGTTTTGTAAGTTGAGGGTTGTCATATATCTGAGTTTTGCGGTTTGGGGATGATTTTGTAACTCGATGACAAGTTGAGGGACCTTCGGTATACATATTGCTGTTGGGCTATTATTTCGGAGTATATGGCATGGTACTTTCTCATGACCCAACATATCTCGGGGGGCCCATGGGGATATGGGGCCGGGATTAGTGGAAAGCTTCCGACCCCGGCCCACCCGATGGACCTTGATTCTGGCTGTTTCCGGCCCCAAGGGGGATGAATTCACCCCGTTAGCTCACCCTAATAGAGGAATTCCCCGCCGGGGAATAGGGATCGGGGGCCATGCCACCCGTCTGGAGGGTTTGTACTTTGTGGTAGGAGAGTGAAAAATCAAAGCAAAGATTCTTTTGTCAACTCACTCAGTAGTACTAGGCACTGCTTGATTGCCACCTCTGAAATTGTCTTCCCCTGTGATAAAAATACACATGTAATACTCTCTTGTTGTCCATAATTTCCATGGTAATCAAGTGCTTTGTGCACAAAACATTTAAATAAAGATAACAACAAAGAAGAGAAGACGTAATAAATCACAATGATTTGCTACGCCATCGCAAGGGGGCACAACGTAAGTACAACGGCGTTGTGACTTGCGCACTTGCTCACGTACAGGAAGTGCACACCCCCACCTATATGTGGAACGATGCCAGGCAGCCGTCCTCATGGATTGACACATCGGTGCAGGCACACACATTTTAATGTCATGAAGCTTTCTCTTTTGGCACGATCTTTTGGTGAGAGGATAAATCTCGCTTTGATCAAATGTGATGTTTGGAAAGTGGCTATTAACTAAAACAAGTACAAGACTGCAAGACACCATGCAATCGCTACACCGAAAATGACGTTGTACCAACCATGACATGCATTTGATGATTTCTAAAGTGCAAACAAGAGAACATTACAATAGTGAGCTAAGATATAATCTGAATATTGTGAATAGTAATAAAGCACAAATAAATAGATGTGATTGAAGTGATACATCTAACCAACCAGATAAATCTACACAACAATTATTGGGGGTTCTAAATTACTCCTCAACTAAACAACCGAGGACTAGAGATAAGGTGTATCGCATACAAAATTCAACTAGACAAAATCCAATTGTTTTAGATGATGTATATTTATAGAGGAAACATAAGGCTAAGGCTACATATGTGTTCAAGTTCATGGAGGTGGAGAGAAGCACTTCCGGTATGAGCCTTATCTATTACAAGGTCTAAGGCCTAAGCCTTATTTCGACGATTCTCGTCGATCTAGAATCAAGTTTGATGTGTTTGAAAGGTGACGATATAAAATTTCCCAAATCAGAGTCGAAATGAAGGTGTAATGTTCGTTTAAAGTCACTGCTGTCCTTTTTACATGTTTTTTACGACGCACTATTATGAGATAGTTGCTGGATCATTTTGAATGAGGTTAATGAGGCAAGTCCTTACTAGCTGCTAAAGCAATAATGCGCCTCAGCAATGCTTGACAAATATTGCTCTCCCCTTTGATGTTTGGTCCCATCCAAATATCCAGCGAGCGCACTTCATTGCTATCTTCCAGTACCTGACAATACCATGCCAAACAGATTAAAAAAAAAAGGTGGGCATCTGAGATACTGATACTACAATTTGGCTGCCAGCAAAATGTTATACCACCAGGAATTGTAACCGAGAAACAAGGTTAGCCTTCAGGTAATAAATTGTGATGCTCAAGAAGAATCGGCAGTCCAACATGGCCAAACAACCCAAGCAGCTCATGGGAACTCAATGATCCGAAGCATGAATAATCAAATGAATTGGTCATCTCTACAGAACCGATTAATGTCAAACGCATCAACATTTACGTCGAGCAGCAAAATGTTGACCAAGTGACCGTACATTCACTGTATGTCCATACAAGATGCAAATGTAATATCATAGTTCAAGACAGTACGGGAAATCTTAATATTACAAGCTACATCTTGCTTCAACAGCTACCTTAACTAGATTGTTTGATGGTCATGCAATAAGACTATGATGATCTAATAGCTTCCATCATTCCTACTACTGGGAGCAGCACGCCTGTCACCTCGACCCTTGCCTAGGTATGTAGCACCTCCAGGTATGTAACCACGGCCACGGCCACGGCCACGGCCACGGACATCATCTAAATTGTTGGGTCGCCCCCTCCCTGCATAGGGATCAGCATACAAGTCTGGTCGACCTCCACCTGTGAAAGAACCCTTCAGCCTGCCTCCTGCAGGGGATCTGCTCCGGTCCCGCATATTGTGCCCCCAGTTATCCCGAGGAGACACTGATCGTCGCCGACTCCTCTCAAGATACATATCATGTGGGCGCTCCCTTGGGTTGTAGTCTTCAGCTGAAGACCAGTCATGCTTTACACGGTCCCTCAACTGACAATCACCACGGAAGCCCATTCTTTCCCTTTGCACTGGATCTGCATACCGTCCTGCATGATCTGGAGGTGATCGAGCTGGATAACCCTTAGGGTCACTTCCCCAACCACGGGGTGGTGACCCGTACCTGGCCATCTCTCTTGGAGGGGCCCGATCACTTGGACCAAGATTCCTTGCAGGTCCACGTGGAGGATTGACGTAATCTCTGTGAGGACTGTGGCCAGGCTCACATACTTCTCGTGAATAGCGATACTTGTTGCAGTTGTTACAGTGAGTTCGCCGAGCAAAATTAAGATTTCCACAGCTGAAATAAAAAGCAACAACAAATTTCAAAGAAGATTTAAGAAACTAGAGAAGACATTCAGAAGAAAACATTTACAAAAATGATAAGATAAAAAAAATGACATACTTGGGATTCTGGCATATCCAATCGCCTTCTCTTGGCGACAGATTTGGATCATTCCTGTGAACATATTCTCCATCAATATTAATGAACTCCTTTCCAGGAGCACCAGAGCCCCTCCCATATGATCTGCCTCCTCTTCCATATGGTGGAGAACCATCCCGGAACCTCGCGACTCCTCTACCACCACCTTGATATCCATGAGCATAACGTGGACCAAAAGTATCATCAAAATTTCTGTTTTCTGGTCTGTGTTGGCGCTGAGGTGAAAGGCCTGCATGCATGCCATATCCTGAAAAGGAAGTAATAACAGTTCAAAATAAGTATTAGCGGACATTAAAGAGTACTATCAAGCAAAGAAATTCTTACACCAGCCACATTGGATTGAAATAGGCAACCCCTTCCGGAGAACCACTTTCAAGTTTCAACATAGTTACTATCCACACACCAAAAGTTTATTGATGAGGCAAGCATTTCTTAAGATTAGCTCATACCCTTGTAACTGCAGCTCAACCCAAAAAACAAAATAACCTCTCTCCATGGTTCAGAACATGTAGTTAATAACTATACATCCAGGGGCTGGAATTTGATGCTTCTAAGGAAAATATTATTTCCTTGTGTCATAATAAAATCCCCAGTGTCATGTAAGGTCAAAAGGCATCTCAAACATTCAACCGGTCAATTCTTATGCCCAAAGAACTCAATCGGTGTAGGTTGTGAATAGTATCTCAATTGGTAAAACCATGCCGTCACACAATAAGGTAGCTTCTCCCTTGACATCGCTTCAGATAAGGTTGTGTGACCTTATCATGTTTTACTTAGCTAAATCCTCCACAAAGAGCTAAAGGAAAGATCCTATGTGAAGAGTAAAAAAGTAGCATTGCAACAAACATCCTATGCTACTCTTTACCAAATCTTTTCCTCAAAGGTTACTTAGTTGCCTATCCATTTCAATTTTCTCCTGACCATACTTAAACATAAGGTCCTGGAGAAAAGTAGTCTTTAGACAATGAAATACCAATTCCCCACAAAGAGAAATGAGATGGTTCATCCAGGCAATATGGAAATCCCTTATGCCAGATAATCTTTTCAGTTCAAGAAATCGACAGTACTTCTCACTGATTTGTTCAAAACTATTCTTTGCATCATCCAGGTACCTTCTTTCTCAACAACTGTGCCCCATCCCCACAACATGTTGGGAAGATGATCAGCAAAAGCCTGTACTGATCCAATCCTACATCCAAAACAGACCCTGTCACTTATCATCATTATGCAACCACAAGGTCAACTCACAAGCACTCATCATCATTATGCAACCACAAGGTCAACTCACAAGCACTCAAACAAGGAGCTGGCCTGTACTGACAATTGTTTGCAGCAAGGGATAACTTCTCCTGTTCACATCGTAAGTCTCTCCATATCCATTACCCAAATTAACTTACAAGGCAATCCCAAAACACTAGCATTTAAACCACAGCTTCCCCAATCTATGTCAAGTCAATCTCAACTCCTTTATCTAGAGAAGCTCATATGGAGTTGGTCAAGACTAACAATCCGATGGCAGCAAGGTACAACTTTTCATGTTTATGCCAACAGCGTTACTTGATATCCCTGTTTCAAGTTAACTTCATCAAACTTGTACTCATAGTTATTGGATAACCCTGAATCTGGAGACTGTAAACCACAACTGCATAGATACACCTCAAGTCCATCTCAGCCCTTCATTGTCTTGCTACCATTATACCTCCAACATATCCAGGATTTACTAATTGCAGATAGTTGCTTTTCACATATAAAATTGCATCAGCGCACAAGCAGAATAGATGCCAAAAACAAAACTAAATCATCAAGCAGCCAATATTGTAAAGCATCATCACTAATATCCCATCTTGAAAAGCAACGTCACCCTAGCCAGCCAAGTTGGATACTGTTAAAGAACAGCAAATTCCACACTCCCTTTGATATTTAGTGGAGCTTGCAGTGCTTGGCCATTACACTGAACATCCAAGCCAGCAAACAATTAGAAAATATCTATAATTTCTTGAAGCATGTCAGGAAGGTTTATACATCCACATTCTGTTCATTATTTTTCTAGATAAGAGGATTCAAAGATGAAAACAAAACATTTCCAACATAATAGGCCTATATGTAACAAAACTATTTAGCTAGTACATCAAAGGAGGAGACAGAATTGAACTTCAGGAAGTGCGGTGAAATGTTGGTTATGTCATACTGAACATACCACTTGATTTAAAAATGAAAGAAAAGAAAACAAGGATATGATAAAGTAGAAAAAAATCACACATTATATTTGGTGATGAGTGATGACAACGTCACAACGAATAAAAACCTAAATCAATCAAATGCAGACAAAAATATCTGAACATAGTGATTTAACTCCTGTTGAATGATCACAAAAAGAAGCATTTTATGCAATCAACTGCTCAAACCCAACAATATATATCTGTGGTGATATAGGGAAAACAATACAAAGCGAATAAATTAATGCTAAAGAGATCTTTGCCCAAGTTATATATGGCACTTGTCAATGAGGAATCATCTGTGATATTGCAAGTGAGGCACAGATACCAGAAAGAGAATTTCTTTCAGCTACAACAACTATCGTCGAATTGGAGCGCACATAAGAAAATTACAGTTTACAACAACTAATTGCTCGAAATAAATAAGTGATAAATTGATAACATATCTAGGGCACACATAAGTTGTGTAATTGATTAATGAATAGGTAGCTCCAGACTTGCACACTGTCTGAGGCATATTTTCAATAGACATAGTTTTTTTTGAAGGAATGCACAAAAGATTTGTGCATCTTTGTATTAAGAAGGAGATAGTTTTGACAGTTTGACAACCAGCCATGAAACATGCCAGCCCAAGATCCCAACTACTTTACGACCTAGGCGGAAACAACCGCACCTAGATGACCAACCAGGGGAGCTCAATAGACAGTTCATATGCTAAAATCAAGCTTTCTGGTACCTAACACAAAGAAACTCTTTCATCGAAACAAGAAACTAGTAAATCCAATAAACAAGTCAGATTATACATGCATCATCATACATATAATCAGATAGCTCTCAATGGTCGAGATCTTGGATAGGGAATCATAAATATCTCGTGTACCAGCATTTGAGTTTATATTAAATCATCTAGTCCACAAACAGAAATAAACCATGGCATGTAAATTGCGGTAGCACAGCACAAATAATTTTACGTCCATATACACCATTCACGAGGGACATAACAGCAGAGAACGCTAAAAAAATAATTTAAAAAATAAATGGGGAATCTAGGGTTTTGAACAGACCTTGCAGCTCGTGGTAGGGGCGCGGGTGCCGAGGCTGGAAATCAGGCGGCGTCAGGCGGCGCGTGGGTGGCGGGCTCAAGCGGCGACGCTGTGGCGGCGGACTCCCAGGAGGACGCCTCCTAGCCAGCAGCGGCGGCGGGGGCGAGCGGCGCCTCTCCCTCTCCGGCGGCGAGAGGTCGCGCCGTCGGCGGGGGAGCGAGGACCCGCGATGGCGGCCCGGCGCACCGGCGGCGGGGGTCGGGGACGAGCGCGCCGCTGCCGCGGCGGCATCCGGGTAGGAGGAGGAGGCGCCGTCCCCCTCGCGCGGCGAGGGCTTGACGACGAGGCTGCTGAGGGGGGCCCGAGCGGGGGGAGGCGGCGGCGGCTGCAGCGCGGCGTCGGCGTCGGCGTCGGTCTCGGACTCCGGCTCCGGCTCCGGCTCCAGCTCGCTCCGGTGGGGAGAGTAGTCCACCGCCTCCTCCTCCTCCTCCTCCTCCTCGTCGACGTCGTCTCCTCTGCCGCGGGGCCGCATCTTCTCTGAGACTCTGACTCTCGGAATGGAATGCGATGGGTGTTGCGGCGTTTCTAGGGTTCGACTAGCCAAAAGCCCAATAGGCCCGAGAGAAAATTGGAAATTTAACTATTTGCCATTGCTAGGTTTGGAAAATACCTTTTTTTAAAAAAAATTGGATTCACAAAAATGACATTGGAGAGAGAATTTCTTAAGGCCATTCAGAGTACCATGGTTATGGGCTCAAAAGCCCCCAAGAACCGACTTTTTTTGGGTTTTAGATTTTTTTAAAAAATATTTACAGAAATAATCTATCGGCCAAAAAAATTATAAAAATAGACCCTGCCGCCCACCTCTGGGGCGGCAAGCTGACGTGGCAAACGGGGGAGGAACGGGCGGTGACGGAGGGAGGGTTTTTTGCAGGAAAACCCTTGCCGCCCTCTGGTGGGGCGGCAAGGGGCCCGAATGCAAAAAAGCCAGTCGGGGCAGACTATTTTGCAAGCGGCCCCTTGCCGCCCTCTGGCCGGGCGGCAGGCCTCGCTGCCTATAAAAGGCCTGCTGCCCAGCCCCCAGCCCTCATTCTTCTCTCCTCAATTCCAGTGAAAAAAAAAGAAGAGAGGGGAAGAGAAGAGAAGAAGGGGCGAAGCCCTGCCGGATTCAGACGCCGATTTCAGGTAATATTCATAGATCCTATATGTGACTATTGAGTTAAATAGTGTGTATTCTTTAAAAATTTGTTTGAATAAATGCATTATATTTTTAGGGTTTTAGTTGTACTAATCTAGAAGTGCGTATTGTAGATATCGGTAACTACGTAGATCTGCTAGTTTGGAATCAATACATTACCGTTGCATTGGCTTACACAAGAAGATATTACGTTGTAGATGTTTATTGCATGAAAGAGTAATATGATCTAGTTATTTCGTTGACAGATATGTCGAACAAACAAATATTCCAAGTTTACCATGGACCAGGAAACGTCCGTTACGGGCCAACTGGGGTAGATCTGTCAGATTTTATTGTATCAGAAAGGGGAATTGATAGACCGGCTGAGAGGAGTGTACCTTCTATAAAAGGATGGTTAATGAGGGGCTTGAGAGTTGATCCACATACAAGTGACATAACAATCAATGTTATAGTAAGTCGGGCAACTGAGGGTTTTTATTGGGAACTAATGCCAGTTCAAAACTCTCGAGTGTGGAGATGGTATTTGGAAAATGCATTGCAACGCGGGTGGCCTCTAGCTTTGGTTCTGTTTGTTCACCCAAAGGATCCAGGTGTGCAGATGAACATGGATGATGGCGAGGGACCAAGTGCTGAAGTAAACGAGACTTCTGTGGAGGAGGTCAACGCACGAGAGGACGGGGGCGTAGTAGCTCCAGTGGGCATTCAACTAGGTGGAGTGGCCGACGAGGGGGAGACTGTCGGTGCCATTGTGGATGAAATGGAGAAGGAGGATTCTGACAACAAGCGTGTAGAGGAAGGTGATTCGTCAGATGATGAGACGGATATTAATCCAGCAGAATGGGCTAGTGAGGATTTTTCTGGGCTGATCGTCTCTGAAGAGGATAGTGTGAGATGGGAGTACAAAGAAAATGAGGTTATTCAGGGAGCGATTTATAGTAGAGCAGAAGATATGAAGGAGGTGGTAAAACATTTTGCAGTGTCACTTCATAGAGAGTTTTGGGTTGCCAAGTCGAACCGGTCGCAATATGAAGTTCGGTGTGTTAAGGAAAAAGATGGTTGTCCCTGGAGAGTGCACGCGTATAAGGGGAAATGGAAGGATTATTGGACAGTGTCAGTCATTACCAAGCATACATGTTTTCTACCTGGTGTTCAGAAATACCACAGGAACATTACTTGTGCATTTGTTGCATCTGAGATGTATGCGCATGTCATCGATAATCTCACATATGAACCAAGGTCAATAATCCGACACATCGAAGAGACATACAAGTATACTATTAGCTATGCCAAGGCCTGGAGGGCCAAACAGAAAATAATAGAGATGAGATTTGGAACTTACGAAGCCTCGTATGACAATTTGCCACTCCTGCTTGGTGTTATCGAGGAAAGAAACCCTGGGAGCTCTTACGAAGTGAAGAAATTCCCCTCAATTGAACATCCTAGCAAGAGTGTGCTGCAAAGGGCGTTCTTAGCTCTACATGCATGCAAGATGGCATTCGTGAACTGTCGTCCTGTTTTCTGCATTGATGGGACATTCTTGACAGGAAAGTATCAGGGCCAGATACTAACAGCAATAGGGGTAGATGGGAACAATCAGGTATTGCCCTTGGCATTTGCTTTTGTTGAGAGTGAGAATACCGACAGCTGGTACTGGTTCCTGAAATTGGTTAAAACAAAAGTTGTTGGTATGAGGCCAAATGTGTGCCTGATACATGATAGGCACGCTGGCATTCTGCGAGCGATAGAAGAGTTGCAGTTTGGGAGTATGGAACGAGGATACCCCGGTGTTTGGGAAGATGTACAGAGTAGGTGGTGCATGCGTCATATGGGAGCTAATTTCTTCAAGCAATTCAAGAACAAGGAGCTCATGAACATGTTCAAGAGGATGTGCAATCAGAACCAGGAGAAAAAATTCAATGAGCTTTGGAAGAGATTAGATGAGTTGACAGCCAAATGCAGTGATCAGCGTGCAGCGGCTCCATCGACCGCCGTTGCTGACCCTCCTCAAGCTCTTGGACCTCTCCCAACGGATAGTCCAACATTGGTTAGAAGAACTGGATTGGAGATTCGGAAATTTTCTCAGTGGATTCTGCATGAACCAAAAGAGAAATGGGCCAAGGCGTATGACACAGGTGGTGCTAGATATGGAATAATGACAATAAATTTGGCAGAAGTTTACAACTGGGTGATGCGCGGTGTCCGTGGACTGCCACTAGCTGGCATAGTGGAGTTCATTTTACATGGGACATGCAGGTATTTTAGGGATCGGTTCCAGGCAGTTCTTCCCTCTATGCCGAACAACAGCATTTTGTTTGGAGCTTTCATGCAGAAAAAGCTAGAGGAGTTGCGTAAAAAGGCCATGAAACATCGAGCTCTAGTGCAAGGTACCCAACAGCACAGGTTTGAGATACTATGTCAAGATAAGGCAGGCAGGGGTATCTACCGCAAGAGAGTGAAGCAGGAGTGTGTTCTCAAAGCCGACGACACATGTCATTGCTCTTGTGCAAAGCCGAAGCTGCACCACAGGCCATGCACCCATGTCATTGCTGCCGCAGCGGAGTGTGGCATACCAGATGCAGTATATGTGTCACAATACTTCAGTAAGCAAGCAATATATCATACATGGAGCGGCGAGATTTATGGGTTCGGCATAGCTGGGGAGTTCATAGAGACTAACGATGAAGTACTCAATATTCCTGACCCATCGAAGCTCCGAGGCAAGGCTGGAAGGAGGAGGACTCGTCGCATCCGCAACGATATGGACGAGTCGGAGGCTGGCATGGTGAAGCGTTGCAGCAAATGCGATGAACATGGGCACACCTACAAGCATTGTCCTAAAGACAAGGAGAAACCAAGTGCGGCGGAGGCAGGACTATCAGGATCAGCAGCAGATGGAGCTCGCCCTACGGGTGAAGGCACTACCTCCACTCGACCACGTCCTAGGCGTCGTCGTGCCACGTCTGGCTACGTGGTGTAGTTCTTATGTTCTATGTCGGCATGTGGATTTGCTTGTAATTCGTTTCGAACTTATCGATGTGTTTATGTTTCGTCGTGTAATGTCAGACTTCGGCATGTCATGTCTTTAGGTCTCGTGATGTAATGTCGGACTAAGGCGCCTAACGTCTTTAGGTATGCTGATGTATGTCGGACTTCGACACGTAATGTTATGTTATATTATTGAACTCTACATATATGTTAAATTGCACGTCATCGTTATGTACCATTAGTAACGTTTGCTATATTTAAATAGCCTGTACTCTTGTTGTACATAATTAATCTCATGATTTTATTACTATTTTATAATTTTGCAAGTTATCTTTTGTTTTACGTTACTATTTTTTGAATTGTTCTAACACGAAACACTATATTTTTCAGAGATGGCACGTCAGGATACACATCAGTTGTTGGTCCCGGCGATAGATCACCGACACCGGTCTCACCTTACTGCGGTGCAGGGGGCTCAGCTTGGGACGTTCCGGGCACGGACGTGCGGTGAGCTACTCACAGTTCACGACTCCTTTGTCGAGAGGTACGAACAGTGTTTTACTATAAGTTAGTTGCACTGTAATATTTTTTATAATGACATATTAATTTGTTATTGCAGGCTACGTGAGGCCGGCCTCCTACCGATGTGTCGGCTGGTGGAGGCTGCGGCCGGCGACGCGGACCCGGCCAGACGATGGACTGTGGACAGGTCCCTCCTAGCAGCTTTGGTCGATCGATGGAGGCCAGAGACGCACACTTTTCACTTGCCGTGCGGTGAGGTAGCCCCTACCCTATAGGACGTATCGTACTTGTTGGGGCTACCGCTCGCGGGAGACGCTGTTGGGCCAGTGACCACGGCTATGGATTGGTAGGACGATCTGACGGCACGTTTCGCACTAGTACAGCGCGCACCGCACCTCCCGCTCGAGCCGTTGGCACACCACCGCAACACCGGACCTACGAAGAGGTGGCTGCTTCAGTTCACCGTGAGTGTTTTTGTACCGAAATGACAATCGTATTACATATTTAGTCCGCAGTTCAGGTGCCTAACATTTTATCCACGGCTTGCAGGTTGAGCAGCTACAGGCGGAGGCCGACGAGTACTCCTACAGCCGATGTTTGGAGGCGTACTTGCTCTGGCTTTTTGGCTGGGTGATGTTCTGTGGCGGTCACGGGCACGCGGTCGACAAGGGACTCGTGCACTACGCCAGGAGCATCGCCGACGCCACGGTAGGCGAGGTGCCTTAGTGGAGCTGGGGTTCCGCGTTGTTGGCGGCTCTATACCGGGCACTTTGTGAGTCTTGCACGAAGACGGATCCCAGCGCGACCTTTGGTGGGTGCCCTCTCTTTCTTTCTATCTGGGTAGCTGAGAGGATTGCGATCGG